AAGATGGTATTTGACCTATTGCGTTTTGGCAAAGGCATCTTGGAAGAGGGTGGGAGTGTGCCCACACTTTACCCCAACACATGCGAACTTGCCGATCAAACTGTGGTGTTTTGACAGGTTTGTCAGTGCGTGGAACTGGTTCTTGACAAGATTTACTAAAAAAAATTGGTGGTAGTTGGGGATATCCGCATGATGCCAGGAAAGGATGTTCTAGTTTTGACAAGCTTTACCGAAAACCCCTAACTTCTCATGTCTCTCTCACTGCTTCATTTACATGAGCTGGTGTGCTTGTGTGTGCACACAGCTTCTTTTAAAATGTCAATTTTCAGTGACCTTAAGAACAGTCTAGCCAGCACCTGCTGTGAATGCAATTGGTTTACGCAGACTAAAACTACGTTCTCATCAGCGTGCTTTTTTTTGTTATACTGCCGACTCACTGACCTTTCTGTTCTCATCCAATTTTGATGGCTGACTAGTCAGAAAAGTCTTCGCCTATCATTTACGTTATATCACTTCTACTTCCGTCATACGGCGGCAAGGGTGGTGATCGGCAATGGTTATGTTCACGATCAGCAATTGTAACAATATCACGACTTAATAGGCAATAGACATTTAACAAACGATCCACGTCTTCCAGCACTTGAATAACTTTACTTGATCCAGGGGTCATGATTTGATTTGGGAACGCAATGACTTTCATGTATAGTTTTCGATTTAAAGCTTTCGTGACTGCAGGGATTCATCTTCTTGGTTCTTTCGGTAAAGTCACGTGACTTTACCGAAATAACCAAGAAGATTTCATGTATAGTGTTGTCTAAATGGTTCTGTATTCCATCTCATTTGTACAATTAGCCTAAAGGTAACAGGATAAATTGCCACTATATGCAGGCCTCCCCATGCCTTGTCGATCATGCGGATTCCGTGACCGTATTTCACGAGGCACACTGGCTGGTGAGGTTGGGGCCCAGGACCGATGCAGAAATGGCTTGCCACTGATGTTAACCATGGCTGGGATTCGAACTCTGATTATAGCTGAATAATGTAGTGCGTGAACCATTGTACCACACTGCTCCATCCCCCTGAAATTTTAGGATCTCATTTAACGATCCGATCCTTAAATTTTGTTGCAATTAAAACATTCTCTTTCATGGTTGAATCATTTACAGGTGGACTTTGGTTGCTTTTGAATGGTAGTCGAATATAATTAAATCCTTTATATTAAGTTCACTTGCTTGCTTGCGCGCTTACGACCGTGCAAATATTTCGGTCGTGTTTTAACCCACTTGCCGTGATCCAATCGAGCCGACATTTTGCACACAGACTCGTTGTGCGTGACGATTTATTTTCGTGAAATTTTTTCCAAAATTTTACACTTTAGGTAAAATTTTTTTTTTATATTTAATTACCAATTGCTTAATGGTGGCAGGCAATCGTCTGACCCATAGGTGGCAATCATCTCAAGCCAGAGGACGAGAGGACTCTAGCCGCCCGTTTCAAAGACCAATGTGGGCTGGGTTGTGGCCCATTGAACACGCATATAAAGGATTTATAGTGAAAAACTTTGTTTTTACGGGTTAAGGTTTTTCATGTTTTCAAAGGTGGAATGGCCCATGTAAGTTCACTGCTCTGGCGCCCCACTGTCCCAGCTACGTTGTACTTCCCCAATTCCACTGCTCTCAAAATAGGTGTAATCTGAGACTGGACATAACTCGCAAAACTGGATGCGGGCCGGCCTCTGCTGTGTTCATGCGAGTTCGCTCTTAAGTTGTTTCCATCCCAAAAATGAACGTAGCAAATTATCAACGGATTCTTTCCACATACCACGCTGCCATTGGTGTAAAGGGGTCTCTGCACACTGGACTCTTTTGGCACGGCACTTGAAACGGTGGACAAGTTTCTTACATCCCTCTGTCCTGCCCAGTGGTACAAGTGGGTCAACGGTAGTCAGTCGGGAGACCGCGTGTGGTTGGGTAAAATGTGGGTACCACCACCTCTTTCGAGACGTCGGTGTGGAAGAGTAGGCCAACATACCCCTTGAGAGGAGCCAGAGGCATAGCTGGGGGGGGCAGGGGGGTACATGTTCCCGGGCGCCAAGATAAAGGGGCGCCAAAATGAGGCTTACAACGTGACATTATAACTTATTGCGGCGGGCGCGGCAGCCTGAAACTACTGCACAAATCTACACCTCAACCTAAAAGTTTATATATCCCGCCACACACAGCCTACATGTCATGTAATTACATTTTGGTATGTGATTTAAACGGGGGGGGGGGGGGCGCCAATTTTATAGTTCGACCCCGGGCGCAAGATATCCTAGCTACGCCACTGAGAGGAGCTGTCTAGGTGCACCCTAATAGTGGAGGCCATTCCACCAGTAGGGGCACAAGCAAGTTCTTGCAGGGCTACAACTCTTCAAGTACACACATTACAAGTGTTTGTTAAATTCACGTGGATGGAGGAAAGGTTGACAATTCTGTTATTGCCACTCTTGCAAGGCTCTCGCACAATCAGGATGGTGATTTGATTTTACTTGGTATTCAGCGAGTTCAGTCGTGTGTGTGTGTGTACACGTTCAGCTCCTTAATCAATCCACTGCTAAACGAGGGGCCCTCCCCTTGCTTCCGCGGGTCTCTGGTGGATATTTGGCGGTTATTCTTCTCCCGTACTGGTCAGTGCTTCACCATTGGAACCTCATTTGCCATTAAAAAATATGATAATTGTTTTTTTACCCTTCTATCTGGCAACAAAACGGTACACCTTTTTTACAAGGAGTCATGTTTGCTCTGATAATGTGCACTGTCCTTGAAGTTGATTGGTCCACACCCGAGACAGCTTTCCTTAGAGCCTAGTCTGACATGGTGTTGGACCAGATGACGCCAAAAGGCGCACAACTCAAAGATAATGCACCATCCGAGTATGAGAGCTCGGTAAACATTTACACCATTGGAACCTCATTTGCCAGTAAAAAATATGGTCAGTGCTTGTTGAAGGCAAAGATAAACAAAAATTCTGCACTGCCCTCTGCTGCCCACAAAGCAGCCCCGCAGCCTATAACGAGCTGATGTGCGTGGCAGTCGCCCATTCCAAGCACGATACGGGCCCAATACTGCCAAGCTTCTAAGAATCGATAGGGTCACGGGCATTCCATGTGATTTCGTAACAAGCCGCGGTTAGTGCATTGCACTGGAGCCGGGTCTTATACCCACAAATCACTGCATGTATTTGCGTGCCAGAGATTCCATCTTATTAAATTAATTGACGCATACTACTTGCCAATGACCGTAGTATTTTTAAATGATTTAACATTGAGGGGAAACGAACCATCGAAGCTGTTTCGTGAAATCTGCCAGCCAGTTCTAAATACAGCCGTGCACGCAATTGGTGTTTTTTTGTTCCCTTGTTTGGCTACATGTAAACATGTTTGTTTTGTATTATGACACGCGTTGGCAAAAACACGAGCTTTGTCCTCTATGTGCTGTGTTGCATTTGAACAGTTTATTCCCAACAATCTAATTGGGCTTTTGTTTTTTAAGTCAGGTTTTCAATTTACTGTTTTGTTAAAGTGCTGTTGTTAATTATATATACTTGGTTGTGAAATTAATGGAATGAACAGTACAGTACTTGTAACCATTCTTCCAAAAAGACGTCTCTTACTCATGACTAGGTTGAACATATAAAGGTCTGTTTTTATTTAATCGCATAAACGCATGTGTTACACGGTTAATAAGAAATTATTATTACATAAAAGTGACATTACAAATGGGCAATGAAGGTTTGCATAATTAGTTTTTCCTGACATTAGGAGCCTTTTAATTATAAGAAATTAAGAACCTCTTCTTGGTTCTTTCGGTAAAGTACGTAGAAGGGAAGTAATAAAATAATAAAAATAAAACATAATAAAATAAAATAATTCTCACGACGTTTCGGCTACAACGCAAGCAGCCGTCCTCTTCGCCTGAGGACGGCTGCTTGCGTTGTAGCCGAAACGTCGTGATAATTATTTTATTTTATTATGTTTTATTTTTATTATTTTATTACTTCCCTTCTACTGTGACTTTACCGAAAGAACCAAGAAGATGAATCCCTGCAGTCACGAAAGCTTTAAATCGAAAAGTAAGAACCCTTTTGGGACCAGATTTTTTTGATTTCAATAATTTCGCCAAATAACAACAGATCCCTCTACAAACCATGACACTTGGATTTTTGAAGCCCTTCATGTTTTATTGGGAACTCTGCAAAGAATGAATGGCGTGTGTGGTGCATGTGCGTGTTGGCTGGTACACAGACATACACACACTGGTGAGCGGTAGTGGTAGTTGGCGCACTGCACACGCTCGATTCCCGCTCGTAGCCAACATCAATCACAAATATCTAAACCAATCCTGGGCCTCTCCTAGGTCAACTCGGCCTTAAACGTGCCCCTGGTGCGGTGTCTAAACATCGGTACTGGGGAGATGAAGGCGGCCAGGCATGGTGGTGTTCACACCACCACCTCGTGTGCCGTGTTCACCTTCATAGCGCTTTCTAACAGCACTTCCCTAAACGGCCTGTTAAGTTGATAATTGGTTTTTTACCCTTCTATCTGGCAACAAAACTGATACCTTTTTATAAGGAGTCATGTTTGCATAGACCACAATACCTGCAGTCATAATGCAAACAAAAGACATAACTCTAATGTATGCACTGTCCTTGAAGTTGATTGGTCCACACCCGAGACAGCTTTCATCTGGTCCAACACCATGTGAGACTAGGCTCTAAGGAAAGCTGTCTCGGGTGTGGACCAATCACCTTCAAGGACAGTGCACATTATCAGAGTTATGTCTTTTGTTTGTATTGTGACTGCAGGTATAGCGGTCTATGCAAACATGACTCCTTGTAAAAATGTGTCGGTTTTGTTGCCAGATAGAAGGGTAAAAAACCAATTATCATATATTTACTGACAAATGAGGTTCCCATAGCCTGTTAAGATTATAGAGGGTGACCATCGTGTCTGTTAACAGGTGTGCGGGCATGAGATCTACGCCCACCGCGCTGTGCTGGCCTGCTCCAGCCCTTACCTGTTTGAAGCCTTCAACAGCGAAGTGTTGGACAACACCGGCTGCTCCATGATCCGCTTTGAGGATCTCAACCCCGAGGCCATGGAGATTCTACTCAACTACGCCTACACCGCACGGTACGCTTGCCCGGGCCGCCAACCTATCCTGGTTCTAGATTTGAAGCTTTCGTCACTGCAAGGATTCATATTCTTAGGTTTTTTCGGTAAAGTCACGTAGGTAAAAAAAAATTAAAATTAATAAAAGTAAAATAAAATAAAAATAACCGTGATGATTGTTACAAACTGGTTACAAACTGAGTAATCATTGGAAAGATGTGATTAACCATGCAAAAAAGATTTAACTACACTTATTTGGACCATCTTATTTGACCGACAACTATTACAGGTTACTGATAGACAGCCAGTTTTGTTTTACCAGTTTTAGTTTTTCTTTTTTCACACTTTTGTTATGTAGGCTAGGCATAGTCACAAACCGCACATCTCCATAACAAAGGCTCAGTCCTTTGTTATGCAGTCTATTCTTAGTCTTAAGCCTCACCTTACCATATTAATAAAAAAGTGTGCCGTTCCTGGCCCTTCCCCCCTCAACCATTATATATACGGAGTGGTATCTCTTGTAATCTCTCATTTACTTGATACAGCTGTCGTGGCTGTGACGGTTCCACCTGAAGACGGAAGCTTGTGTTGCCTCCGAAACGTCGTGATTTTATTTTACTTTTATTAATTTTAATTTTTTACCTACGTGACTTTACCGAAAAAAACCTAAGAATAGGAACCTATCCTGGCACACACGCTTGTCCTGAGTTGTCGCTCGTGGAACCATCGAAAGATGGAACGATACGCCAGGCCAGGCCTTGGTTTGTGATTTGCATCCTCTGCCTTTAAATTATTTATTAAGATGCCACTGGAGCTCCGCACTTTTAAATCTAGATTGAAAACACCCATTTCTTTAAACTCTTTTGTGTATTCTTGGTTCTTTCGGTAAAGTCACGTAGAAGGGACCTTTGGCCCGCACCGCCAATTAGTAAGGTCGGCCACGTTACGGCTTGAAGTTCAACACTCGTACCATGAAAATGCAGCCCAAAAATTACGTAGCCATTGTAGAATAAAAAGAAAATTAAACACAGCTACTTTACGCGCAGCCAAAGGCCCAAAACACCATGCGGACAGCAACAAACAGCACCATCAAAGTCCTAGTAGATAAAGAGTTGACACACTTACAGAATTTACCAAGATTATTGCAAGAAGCCTAGGAAAAGAGACTATGGGAAGACACAGAGCTCTATTTTTGAAGTGTTGTGACCTGCAGTGTGTGTGGTGGAACCATGGTATCAATGAGCCGAGTACTCATGGTAATGTGCAGTAGAACCCCTCTTAACGACGGTAATTGGTTCCACGAAACCGGTCGTTAAGTGATTTTGGTTGTTAACCGAGCATCGGAAATACACGTTAAAGGCTTAATTCGTTCCGATAGCATCGAAAGCTATCCTTTTTCACCCAAATAAACGTCCTTGATAATATTTAAACAATGGGTATTAATTCATGAAGATGCTAACAACATTATAAACATGTTTAAAGAAACACGGTTAATCAATGCATTAATTAGTCACACGTGTGTGTGTTGGAGAGCCAAGCCACAACATTTACAATCATAAGTACGACGTTTCGCCAGTAATTATAACTAGTTTCATCAGGCGACAGCCAGATTTGTAAACGCATTGGGCTGTACGGAGGTCCGTCGTGCAGCTATTAGCCATTGACAGGGGTGGTCGTTAAGAGGGTTTTTACTGTACACTACAAAGTGGATTTTTATGGCATCTCTAAACACGACTGCATCTTAAGAAGCTACACGAGATAGACATTTGTCTCCGTCTGGGCCTATATTTAAGGCTGAATCTTTATATTTGTGTATGGTACCTACTTTATTGACCTTTTTTAGGGATGATTGGCAAACTAAAAACCTTAAGATTCTAAACCATATGCTCCGTAGTTTTTAATTAAAGTGGGACCCAGATGGATTATTTACAAAGTCTTCACTTTAACTTGCAGAACCACAGTAGTTTTTTCTCCTCTGATGGCCTCACTCTGGATATCTCTGCTTTACTTTATGGCTGCTTCCTAGAGCTTAATAGCTCACCTGAATATTTGCCAGGTCACTGGTAGATTGGAGGTAGGCACCTCCCTGTCTAGTAGCCACAGCCAACACATTCCTGCGGCGGGAGCTGGTAGGAACGTTGGGTTGCTCGGTCAATGGCCTGCAGGGTCAACGGCGGCGTGGTGTATTCCGCAAATATGCCCGACCTGTGAGGGCGGGCGCAAGCCGGCGTGAGTAGGTTAAACGTTGAGTTTTATAAGGGCACCACGGGGTGACCAGCCCCACCCCACCCTCCCTACACGACAGACACAATAATCCCCTGTGGGCTGGTGTAACCAGGAGGTTCCTACCAGAATAAAATGAAGTATACTGTGTCTGGTGTGCTAAGTACGGAAATATTTTCTGTATTACTGACCCGAACAGACTTTCGCTGAAATTAAGCCTTAAATATCTGCTGCTCACTCCCCCTGTTCAAGTCCCGCTTTCTCTCCACTCATTTAACGTGTAAATTTCTGAACGCCATTCTTATCTATCGCAATATTTGTTTTTCTCTTATCTCTGTCTACCATTTTTAACGCCCATAAGCTTATCTCTATCCATATTGCAATGCATTCCTCCAATGTCTCCATACTCCACCCGCTGGAATGCAGCTGTCCCCCCTATCTTGTGCAGCATCTTGAAGTAGTGCTTAAGATATAGGCACTTTATAAATGCTAAATAATTTTTGTGCGTTTTCTGATGAGCATAATTGTTACATTTTACTTGCACAAGTGCTTATTGTACTATTCAAGAACTGGGAATATCTCCAACCTAGCAAGACCATTTTATAATTTTAGCGTGCGCGGTGGCTTCGATCACGAGAAAGCCCTCTCACAGTTACATAATGTGTTTTTGATGTACAGTAAACCCTTGTGAATTCGACACACATGGGGCTCTGGCCTTGCTGAATTATCCAAAACTAGCCTTTTGCCCGTCAAAGGACGGGTGTATTGCAGTATATCTGAAACTTGCAAGCGAAAAGCGGACCGACTTGATATTCATTGCATTAACGCGTGTGCAGTTTGTAAGGGCGCAGTGACACAGACCTATTTCATTTTAAGGTTATTATCCCTTGTTCGTCATGACATTTTTTTTACTTCGATGTCTCAACAGCGTTACGGAGATCGCGTGACGTGAGGGTTCTGCCTTTTGTAGTGAGGGTTGTAAGTTGATGCGAAGGAGGGGGGAGGAGGCGCCTCGCCCCCCTCCCCATGTGGAGTGACGTCAGCCGCTAATTATGAATGGGGGGGGAGTGTCCATTTGGAGGACATCACCTTATAATAATTATTGATGAGGGGGGGCTGTTCGATGTGGCGTGACGTCACCTGCTCATGATTATTGAGGGGGGCTGGTCAACGTGGAGTGACGTCACGGGTATTCCAAATTATCTACAATGGTTACTCCCCAATGCCTCCTGCCCCAATGTTTTTTTTTCTCCAAATTTTTCACGCACCGTACGCATTGACACACCTGCATCAATTCTATCCAAACCTTTGGATTTGTCTCGCAGAACAAGCGATTTGTACTTGGGTCCCTTTCTATTACTTCTTGATGTAGGAGCAAGATGACATTTCTGAGAGGGTTGGCTTGCATAGAGTGCACAAGTAGGGTAAAGTCCAAAGCAACAGGTCCGCACTAACGCTCACCACGCGCGCCGCCACCAGATCGAGTAATTGTTTTGGTCGTGGCGCGCGTCATCGCTCCATGCGTATGCTGAAATTGGACCATTCGATACGGCAATTCGGCTTGTGGCGAGTTACTAATATGAATCGCAGCCGTGCCGAATTATCCCCAATTACGAATGTTCAAATAACGAGGTTTTACTGTATTTCCCTCCAATGGCATTTGAAGTCCCTATTCAGCTCTCCCATAAGGAAAAGGTTCCTCACCCATTTACTTAGGACGTTGTCATCCGATGCTGTGGGTGGAGCGTGTAATGTGGGGTGGATGGATCTGTATTTTAGTCCAGTTTTTGTTTACATTACGGTGCCCTGGTGCTGATTACGTGTGCTGCTTTTCAGGCTGGAAGCCTCTATTGATCTGGTGAAGGATGTGTACTCTGCTGCCAAGAAGCTGAAGATGGACCGCGTGAGACAGGTAAAACTCCACGAGCGTTTTTTTCTTTTCCCCTCCGTAATTCAAGATCAAGATGTAACAACCGTGGACAGAGCCGTTGATGCCACCTCGCCAACAGCGCCTCCTACCTTCTGCAAGATCACAGCTGCACAGCCGACCAAGATCTGCCCTTTAGCTCATGGAGACAACTCCCAATGCCTCTCTCAGTAACCGCCCTCTGAGACGACAGGCATTGGCGTGGTCTCCGCTATTCCGGCGACCCAAGGGGGAACACAATTGCTTCGTTTTAAATGGTTCCTTCTCTTCTGTACCCTGACATTCACACGGCTCCTGTAGGTGGGGGAGAAAAGTGAAAGAAAAGTTGTGAAAGGCGTATAAAACTTAACAAAACTAAGTTTTATTTCACCAAGTAAGGCCCACTCGGCTAAATGGCTCTCTTTCAGAAGCGACCTGGCCACAAATGATGATAGGTTATGTGGATATTTATAGCAGCCAAATACTCTAAACACAAATTCTTAGGTTTTTTCGATAAAGTCACGTAGGTAAAAACATTAAAAAGTAAAATAAAATAAAATCACGACGTTTCGGAGGCAACACAAGCTTCCGTCTTCAGGTGGTACCGTCACAGCCACGACAGCTGTGTCAAGTAAATGAGGGATTACAGGAGCTACCACTCCGTTTATATAATGGTTGGAGAAGGAGTGGTAGCTCCTGCAATCTCTCATTTACTTGATACAGCTGTCGTGGCTGTGACGGTACCACCTGAAGACGGAAGCTTGTGTTGCCTCCGAAACGTCGTGATTTTATTTTATTTTACTTTTTTTATGTTTTTACCTACGTGACTTTACCGAAAAAACCTAAGAATATGAATCCTTGCAGTCACGAAAGCTTCAAATCTAGAACTCTAAACACATGTTTCTAAAAATGGAGAGAATAACCAGAGGACCCGGATAAAATCCATGCAAACTCCAAATATGCAATAGGCATCAGGGTTTGAATCGAACTCGTGACCTCCTGCATACCAGGCGAGGGAGTTAACATCTCACCACCGCGGTAGGTTTTGCGTGTTTGTAGCCAGGTGTTCTGTTCATGCCACCGCTTGCAGAAAGACCTCCACTAGAAGGACTTTTAGAGATCGCCTCGAGGAAGATATTTTGACCTCCCCTTACACGCTGGCCCAGACGTCTTGGTTGGCGTAGAGCAGTGTTCTTCATCGCAAGGCCCACAGGCCACTGGTGGGCCCCTGGTGGCCTTGCGTGCGGCCCCCGACAATATACAAATGTGAAAACACCCCCATCATCGTGCTGTCAACCCCCAATGGTTTCAAATGTGTGGGGTCCTCGCGCTGGTGATGTTTTATCGGTGAAAGCCCCCCCACCTTCTGAAAATTAGCGAAGAACACTGGCGTAGAAGTTTCCTTGTCTCGGTACGAATAGGCGAGGTTCAGAGGTTGCAAACGGGTTTTGATTCCTTACCCGTACCCGGCCGCACCAGGGTCGCCAGGTACGGGTACGGGTACCCGTTCCCTACCCGTACCCTACCCGAAATGAGTGACTAACAGTTACTCACCAGTGACTCACGGCCTACCCGTACCCGGCCGCACCAGGGTCGTAAACGGGTACCCGTACCCGGCCGGGTACGGGTACCCGGCCGGGTACGGGTAGCCGAGTATCGGGTAGGGTACGGGTATCGGGTACCCGGTTGCGACCTCTGGCGAGGTTAGCCTGCGCTTCAAAACATCCTCTCATCATTATGCTGGTCGTACTTCTCCGGGAGCAGGTGTGCGGAGACTACCTTCTGTCTTGCGTGGACGGCACCAACTGCATCTCGTACCGAAACTTCGCCGGCCACATGGATGACTCGCGCCTGCTCGCCCAGGTGGACGCCTTCATCCAAAGCCACCTGGTGGAGATTTCCGAAGGGGAAGAGTTCCTCAAGCTGCCTCGCCTGCAGGTAAGAACCGTGAGGTTTTTTCGGACCCTTTTGAGACATCGAGAGGTTATTCGGGCTACTCTTCCACCATACATAGCCAGATGTCTCTTGTATGTATGTACGTTGAACTTCTTTTTCTCCGTACATAGCCAACAGTGCTAATTGGAGGTGCAGGGAAAGGACTGCAAGCACACAAAGCGGTTCTCAAGAAATGAGTTTTCAAATGAGTCTTGGGAGATTAAGGACAATATAACAATGTTGACCCTGAATCGTGACAATTCATTGAGTGGTCAAGATGACGGCGACGAAGATAACACGTTCGACAATGAAGCCCCTCCTATAAATTATGATAACGGTGATGAACTTGACAAGTGAACCGGTTCGTTTTCTGTTGACGTCAGGTGGAAGTGGTGCTGGAAGAAAACGTCTGGCTGCCCAGTAACGGCAAACTCTGCACCAAGGTGATAGACTGGGTGCAGCGCTGCATCTGGGAGAAGGGCGAGCGTCTGGAAGACCTCCTGCAGAAGGTTTGTGGGGTGCCTCGCTGCCCATGTTGGTGGGAGGTCGGGGGGGGGGGGGGCCTTACGGGGAAACGATCACAACCGCGTCTAGCGCCAGGGCGCACGTAGCATTTGTCATTCATCGCTCTGTCTCCCTCACTTTTTCCTCCAACCCCTCTTCTTTCTCTCCGCTTACACGCCCGCCCCTGCGCAGCCGTAACCGTAACCAACCAGGAGATTTTTGCAGCGTCGTTTTATTTAGGTGGATGCCTTGCCAGTTTATTTTTTGTTACGCTTGCTGTACGTAAAAATCCGTGGGTAGAAAAAATGCGCTGTGACTTTTGCGATTGCGTCGGCTGATTTGTAGATAATCAGCCTGCTACTTGTAGAGTTGTGTAGCGGCACTTTGCCGTTTGTAGCTATTTCGCTACGCAGCAGGGCAATTTTACGCTGGTGCTGACGTTCGAAATAATTTGGTCTTTTAATGTGCTGGCGAGCTACATTTTCAAATTGACCACGGTTAGGTTCCAACAATGACTTTGAATATTTTAAAATTGTGCACGATGGTCGAGTTTCAAGGCAGTTTTTTTTCCGCCCGTTCAGATGGTAGTGTGAATTGAGACACATTTGTTGCAAAGGGAATTCGACCTATAGATTGAGAATCCTTAATTTTATTGCACATCAACTTTGGAATCTGAAGGAAGATGCAGCCTAAAAAACAAATGTTTCTTATTTTGTTGTAGATAGATACCTAAGCTTTGAATCCTGACCTCGCCAAAACAAGTGTGAAGCTTCGTTAATGATTTTTATTTTAAAGTCTATCGTTGTGGTCAAAAACCCATCGTTATGGCATCTGTGGCACATTTGCTGGGCCTAATTTAAAAAGTATTTAGCCCTCATTAACAGGCTTTAAACTTGTGTATCACATCCTAGGATAAATATTTATAGGATAAGAACTCTTGTGTTTATTTTTGGGTTGCATCTTTCCACCCTATATTGTGGCTTGCTGTCGTTGCATTGTAGGCGACGATGAGACGGTCACCAATCGTGTGAACCAGCGTGTTCGTTGAGTGTTAAGTAACACTGCTGCAAAAGTATCCTGGTTGGTTTCACTTAATGAACACAACAGCAATGACGAATCTGGTTGTCAGGGTCGCTGTGTACGCAGGCGGCGGCGTGTGTGTGTGTGCGAGGTGCAATTGTCTGCCGTACGACCTCCTGCATGAGCTCGCCGCGAGAGAGAGCGTTTTTATAAAAGGGCAGCGTCGTTGTCATGGATCGCGGCGAATCCTTGGCGGTCAGGAACCCCCAAACGCTTAGGCAACGGCACGTAAAACAACAGTCTGTGTGAGATGTGGGTCCAGCCTCATGCTCGTCGCTATTCCGTTAACATTTTTCTTAACGACCTAATGCAATGCGTTGCACTGGGCAAGACAGACATGCTCGTGTTGAATTTTTTGCTGGGGTAGTGTTTGATGGCGGTGAAGGGCAACTTGAGTGAGATTGGCTGCATTTTCAATTGCTTCGTATTGCTGTGGTTTCAGCTTTTGGGCACCTGACCAAAGGGGTAAACAGTAATCGATCATGTCACGCGAGCTGCCTATGGTTATTGATCGCCTCCCGCAAACTGCGTACGTGGTTGCCTCCGCGCAGTTTACAGAATGTTTGAGACTTAGTTAAGAAGGGGAGGTGCGTTTGTATGTGTTTTTCCGTGAACAAAACAACGTTTTCATGATGTTTTAAAAATATGATGATGCCCGTTTGATAGAAATGGTATTCCTGTGATGTTGTTACATGTATAAGCTGTATCGTCGGTGTTTTGTTTATTTTGTTTAATTTATTTAAATTCACCGTCGTTTTATTTTCGAATCCTGAACAAACCATAGGGGTTAAACTCAAGGAAAGTATATTTTATTTATATTTGTTTTCCCCCCCACCCAGGATCCTCAGGTGAGGTTGTCCAATCTTGTCGAAGCTGCCACGCTTTCCCCCAAGTGGATTTTAGTCTTTGTTTTAAGATGTACGAAACATGCAGTGTTACCACCGCAGAAGAGGCCTTAACTACGTCTTTACATCTTAACATAACCCGAAACCCTTAATCTATATTTTTTTGTTTGTTATTGCATTGCCTTCTCTACCTTGGGTTGTGCTTTTTGCAGACTCCTCTTCCCCAGCCTCCGGTGCTGTGGGTTCTGCTTGGCTTCAAGTCAAAATATTGACGTGGTAAACGTGAAATTGCAAGCATGTGGTTTGCCGTAGCTTTATAACACACCAAAAAAGAAGGGCATATTAATGGGGGGGGGGGGGGGGGTTCTGGTGGGGTACCTTTTGTGGCTTATAGGTAGGGCTTGTTGTGTTACGTACATGAGCTTGCTTTGATTTTAATTTCGTATGTTTTCTGTTTTTTTTTTTCCCTTGCTTTGTCGAGACCTAACATTTATTGAATGGGCAGCGTTTGTATTGTCTCTTTTTTTTTTCTTTAGGGTTTTTTGGGGGGTGGGTGGGGAAAAAGAAAAACCCAGAAGCGGTGGCAGCCATTTAGATCCTAATTTTTCGTTTTTTTTTCTCACTTAATTTCCTTCCCAGGTGTAAGCCACCGAAAGGTAAGCAACGTCCCAGGTGTGCGGTTGCCGTGGAGATGAAGTGTTGGCACGCCGAGGTGGAACAAGTTAACGGACACTCCAGCCTGCAAGATTCCATTTGGATCGTTTCCAAAGCCGAGCGAATGGCTCGTAGATAGTATTCGCCCGTTTTTATTATTTTCTATTTCTTCTTCTTCTTTATAACAAAACAAAGACTGAGCAACACTTACTTTTTTTTTGGCCGCATCTATTTGGACACATTATTTTTTATCTCCCTCTGGCCACACACCCCTACGCCCCCCCCCCTCCACCACCTCTTGGCCTGCATTATTAAATGGAATTCGTCCAGCGAGATGTCAAGATCCACGCTTAGTCACCCTTTCACCGACAGCTCTCCTGCTATTACAGTGTGACGGGACACCCTGGTATTATACGCTGGGCTCAGCTATGCATACCTGAACACGATACCTTTTTGCAAGGGGGTGTCAAGTCGCCCCACTGTCCAATTTTGGAGGATTCAAGAACCCCCCCGCCCCCACGTCAGTAAAAAATATTTTTTGCCAAACGAGTTCCGAGTTTGCTGCGATGGATAATTAGCGCAGCAACAGATTTTTTTTTTTTACTAATGTCTAAAATGCCATCGTACTGAGAGCGGACACGAAATTATCAACAAGTATAATCCGCACGTTAAAGTGATCCGATATCTTTACTGAAAGACAACTCCACACACGTTATGTAGTCTACAGAAATTGGCCAAAATATTTTTTTCACGTTTTTCATTTTACCGAAAATATTTTATCCTGGACAATCGCTAGAGATGGAACAACATCATGTTGGCAAGGGTGTCCAGGTTGACACGAGATACATAACGACTTTTTGTTTTATATTCTTCATACACCGTACGTGTTTTTATACAAAGTAACATTTTTGTGAAAACAATTATTTCACACTTTTTTTTTTACAAAAGAAACACCGCACCTGCAACAACCACACAGATTCACCTTCAAGTGCTGCAGTTGCAAGTTGATGTACCCACGTGCACAATTTAAGTTTATTTATATTGTCACTCCAACCAGAGCACCTCCCTATTGGCTGGGAACGTGCATTGATGGGGAAAGCTCAACGCACAGAAGACGAGCATTGCTCACCTGCCAATAAAATGCACCGACTACCCGTGACCAATTTCCTCTTGCGTACACGGGTCAGAAGTTAGATTTTCCCTGAGATTAGCACTAGCGGTTAGAAGCATTTGTAACAGGGATTGGGAATCTACGGTCCGGGAATTCATTTCATATGGGTCGATGGCCACAGTTAATTGGGCCGTACCACGTCAAAACAATATTCATCCGTCACTGCGCATAATCTCTTAGTCGCACTAAGCTTGTCCTAGAGGGGAAAATTTTCAATCTGGCAGAATATTGTTTTTCTAATTTTAGCGTTTGCAGTCGCTTCTGTCACCGCAAGAGCATCCTTTAGAATTGGTCGGCACGCAAATTATTAGGTAATGCTACGGGGTGTGTCTGTTTTGTGTGTGTTTTTAATGTGCGGCCCACTGCCAAGATAATTTATGGTTCCCATTTGGCCCTCAGGAGAAGTTTATTCCAAGCTTTGGTGGGCAGTGTTGTGGCAAATAGGGGTGGATCTCCGTGATGGAATGGGCCCTTGGGTTTCAAACGGGGATTGTTGGCTGCTTTTTAAGTAGGCGGAAGCCCCTTTCGTGAGTAAACGGGATGTTTTAGGGCATTTTATATTTCTGCACACTTTTTTTTTTCCCCAAACACTTGAGGGATTCCGGATAATGGTTGTTTAACTATCATCATCAGTGAATTCGAGGATGGGGGTTGTCCAAAGATTACATCTCCTTTTTGGTTGGCTGCAAATTTGGAGCCCAAGCAAAGTTTAGAGTTAAATTTGATGTTGGGGTTTTTTTTTACTAATTACATTTCTGAGCGAAACCCCCCCCCCCTCCTCCCCCCTTTGAGAGCATCCATGATCCTGCGTCAAGCACAGTTAACCGCAAAACCAGCCCCGTCATTTATCCACGAAGATCTAAAATCCGGCTGGCTAAACTAGCGGTATGCAAGCATAATTTAATTTGTCAGCAACGATTTTCAATTCGCTCGCTCAAATTTCACAAGGAGGGATTTGGTTTCTGCCCAATTTTGCGAGGTACTGATGTACAAAACACATCACATTCTGCCATCGTTGATTATACAGCGTTAGCACATTTAATGGTGTTGGTTCGCACCATTGTATAGAAATATTTACAGACTTTTACATCATCTCGAATGAGAAGCCCGCTTCAAGCTCTTGGAATTTTTTTTATTTTTTTTGGGTCATCAATGAAAGCAGGAAAATACCGGCCCCTCTACTCTACCTTTTTCGGCAACGTTAAGTTTTAAAATGTGAATGATATTTTACTTTCACCAATTATTATAAAAGGTTAAGATCGATAACCCGATTAACCTTCCTTTTCCAACTTGTGGCAGCAATGAGGCGCTGTGTTTGGACGCTGCCATCTTATTTGACTTAAATTATTTTCCTACTAATCAATCCCTTGAGTTGAAGCAAGCTCCTGGCAGAAGACGAAGAAATGCGGTTGTTAGGATTTTAAAGTACAAATTAAGTGAGCAGGTTGCCCTGCCCGGGTTATTTTATCATTTGTTTCGCTAACTTTCCTCCCCCCGAATGCAGCTGTTTGCCGAGGTAAGTCTCAAGTCATTTCGCTGGACCAGATTCACGATGTTAATCATGAGAAACCCCGATCTTTGCCCGCTCACCGCAGTGTGTGTGTGCGCGCGCGTGGTCCGTCCGTGTGTGCGATCTGTCAAGTTTGCGAGTTGAGTGAGCGAGCGTGCGATGGTTTTGAAGACCTTGTCTTGCGCAGGAATTGAGAGCCCATTCCACGAACTTCCTCATCCTCCTCCCCTACCCGCCCCCCCGGCCTAACCTAGACCCTGTTCCCCCCAGCCGCCCACCCTCGCCTCCTCCCTTGTCCTGCTAATCTTGCCCCTTTTTTTGCTTTCCAGGTACACTGCTGCGCTTTTGGAGGGCATAGATAGCATTTGTGCGTGTGACTTTCGACCGTTAAAACTTTTTAAGCGCAAAGTGTTGGCAGTACAAGCTCAAGCTGGCAAAACCTTGTCGCCATAGTCATTGCCAACTGCATTGTAATGGATATGTACATAGTAGGGTAACATTACGGGACGTGGCCTTGTTTGCATCTTTTAAAGATCGCTGGTCATTTCCCTAAATGTTAGCAGGCTATGTACGTGTTTTTATTGCAAGGCAGCGTTAATGGCGATGATGGTCGGGTTATTTTGCCGGTTTGTGTTTGACAGCCGACTTTATGAACTACTCGCACTAAGAATTGATGACGGTTTGGTCGCGCAGCAATAGGAGAAATCTAAACATTGCCCTGTGAAATAATGAAATAAAAGAAGTCGTTAAAATGTTAACTGAAGGAATCTGATCTAAAATGCATGATATTAAGCTTGAGCTAAAATAAATAAACATGCATGGGACACATTTATAATGTGACCATGTTTTTTAATTGGATGAAAATGGAAACCAATGAAAAAAAACTGATCTTATAGAAAACTAGGTTTGTACCCTGGGGTGTCTGACACACGTTTGAAGCTTTGTTAATGAGGAAATAATTTGAAACCAGTGATGTCACTGAATTGGCATATTAAAACTGTGACATCACAGTATCAATAGATGGGGTTGTTCAAAATAACGTATAAAGATAATCCCCATTATGAGCACACGTGTACTATTACGTTGTATTACCGGACATTTTTATGAAAGGTTTTGTCTTGCCGGTTAAAGTGGCAATATCATTGTGTGACATCGCGAGGTGACTGTTATTATCACAAATTAATTACTTCCGAGGTTGTAAAAGCATTATGGAACCTATGCAAGTGCATGGCTTTTCTTGATTTTTTTAACAAGAAAAGTTTCGGCTAGTGCAGAGAAAGTCCTTGGTCACTTAGACGTTTTATTTCCGTCAATGACGAAGCTTGGAACTCGTGTCGGGCAACTCGTGACACGCAGCCAGGGTACGCAGCAACACGGAAACGTCTATTCGTTTCTGGCTTTGTTGCCCATCCTTTCAAACCAATATTCTTCTTAACCACTACACAGAAAACTAACACACTTAAGATGTGCCTGCTAACCGCAACTCAACAGAGACGGCGTTGAGTGGCGGTTTCGCTACCGTTAGGCGTACATTGCTCTGGGAGGTACTACACAGAGTGTCGCCCCTGTCTCTCCCCCCCCCCCCTCCTCTGCCTTCTCTCTCTTTGCCCTTGCTATCTCTTTCCTCCCCCCCCCCCCCCCATTTGTCCTGTGTTTGTTGAACACGATCAGGTTCAAAAGCTGTACTTTTCGGCTGAACACAAACTGCTCGAAAGGAGCCACCCTGAGTCTCCGCAAGACAGTTCCAGTGAGGGCGAAGATGCCGCTAATAACACGAAGGTAACGGTTGTATCCGTATTTACCCAAATGATTGTACGTTGTAACCGAATTGATGCAGCGCCGAAAATCTGTGTAGTGTAGCTGGGACGATCAGCGGTCATTGCTCCCCTGGTTCATTCTGTGGATATAACACATTCCTGCGGAGGGAGCTGGTAGGAACGTTGGGTTGCTCGGTCAATGGCCAGGGTCAACGGCGGCGCGGTGTATTCTGCAAATATGCCCGACCTGAGGGTGGGCACAAGCCAGCCCCTCCCCACCAAGCCCCTGCAATTTTTGGATGCACGACGGACAGACATAATAATCCCCTGTGGGCTGCTGTAACCAGGAGGTTCCTACCAGTAATTAACCCTTTGCCCTGCCAAGACATCTTCAAGTTGCAGGGTGGGTCCCGTTCACCGCTGAATCTCTGAATGTGCAAGCGGTTCGCATGAATTTATTTCGAGAGTCATTGAGCCGCTGTTTTTAAAAACATTGTACTCACCGCAGGTAACTGTAGCGACACGACCGCATTCTATAATAGCTGCCGCCAAACTATGCCACACGCCAATGGCGGAGCCAGGATTTTCAGGTAGGGGGGAGCAACCCCTCCAGCAATTAAAACTGATAGAAGTTGTTAGTAAGGACTTGTCCCTTGCTTTTTATTCGACGCGTGTGCGGTGATGGCGCGGCTATCGATCGAGGGTCGAATTCGAACCGTGTGAGATCGGCATCGCGCTCGCTGAAGGTGAATGTACTGTATACGCAACTGCGCACAATTCTGTGAGTCACTTATAACTGCTTTGCCGTTACTTATTACCAATTATGGACTCAGACTATTGTCCTATCATCTCAGTCCCTGGCACGTAATAATATGCTACACAGTGGCAGTGGGGGTCGCAAAATGCCGATTTGTTACTAACAAACCCCAATGATCCAATCATTGGGGGTGCACGTACCACCCCCCCCCCCCCTGCACTGGCTCCACCAGTGCCACACGCCCTTCCGTAAGAAAATCTGGTTGCATAACGTTTGTCATCGGAATGGTAAAGGTTTAACATACATTCCGGATCCCGTGATCTGATTTGAAAACGTGTAGGCCTTATATGCCTTTGCCACGATCCAAGTTTGCCAAATTCTACAATTGCTGCAAGTTCGTTAATTTTAATAAAACAAAAAAAAATTAAAACCCCTTCCCACAGAAACATCTCCTGTGGCCAAACCCTTGGCAGAACTCTCCTGAAAAAGTCTTGGGGGGGGGGGGCGGGGGGGGCTCGAGGTGTAAAAGTAAAAAATAAAAGGCGGCGAGACTTGACGGCAGGCGTTTGGTTGTGTGTCTGTCCCGCGCAGAAAAACCTTCACCGGGACGGCAAGCGCAAGAAGATCGGCGTTGCCACCACGAACGGCACCACGCATCTGAATACCGGTGACATGAAGTCTCCCTGCAAGTCGCTCACCACCGCCGCTCGCAACCTCTTGCAGCAGCAGCAGCAGCAGCAGAGTCAAAACGGCGGTGGCTGCAGCAATGGCGGCAGCGGCAGCAACAACATCTTCAGCAAGCACGAGTGGAAGATCATTGCCTCTGAAAAGAGCTCCGGTGATTATTATTATAATTCTGCTATAGTAATGAATGTCGGTTTAACACGTAGACTTTCGCCACCGCTATTATTCATATTGGAGGTTTGTTTGGGATGGATCGCGTAAGACCGAAACAGGAGGATTCTCCACAACTCTGGCTGTCACCTGATGATGCTGCTTGTTGACACTTGGCAAAGCGTCTCGGTACTCGAATTTGTAAAATGCTGTAGTGGGTTTACTCTCCAACACAACCGGTGTGCTGAACCAGTAACGAATTGGCACGTTTTGTTCACGTGACAAACCTTACGAATTGGCCGTGTCGGGTGGTGGTGTGTTTAACACGTTTATATTAACACGATCTAACCCTCAAAAAAATAAACCTACAATTCTGAATAAACGTGATCGTAAGCGAGACCCGACATCAAATTATCACTCTGAGATCTCTTTTACCAGTGGCAAAATATAGTAGTAGGTTTTTACCCTATTAAACTGGTACAAAACTGACACCTTTATTCAAGGCATTATGTTTGCAATAACCACAACACAAGTAGTCAAAAAAGCAAACAAAAAGAAGCAACTCTGATAATGATAATAATATGCACCGTCCTTGAAGTTGATCAATCCACTTCAAGGACCAATCAACTTCAGGGACAGTGCATATTATCATTATCAGAGTTGCTTCTTTTTGTTTGCTTATTTGACTACTTGTGTTGTGGTTATTGCAAACATAATGCCTTGAATAAAGGTGTCAGTTTTGTACCAGTTTAAAAGGGTAAAAACGTACTACTATCAAATTATCACTGAATGCGCCCAATCACATCTGAACCACATAGGGCTAAGCTAATGCTTAGATTGGCGACCCAGCATGCAACAGCGGCTGTAGGGGGCGGGTGGGAAGGCTACATTATTGACCAGCGGAGAGCAGTGGAGCAATATCTTGCTCCCACTTGTGTTATTGTACTATCCCCAGCTTCAACCCACAAGTGGGCATCACGGTGACCCTCATCCAGCAGCGGAATGACAGTGCCGTACGCGTGTATGCGTCCGTGTACAAACGGGCGCATCGTTTAAATTGACTTTCATTACACGTTGGCCTATTGTGAAAGCTGTGTATAATTTGACGTGGACCTTGCCTCGTTAAATAACAATGATGGTGCGTTGGTGCTCCGGTTACGACAAGTTGTGGGCCGTCTAGCGAACCGCGGTTGCCAGGGTTGCCCTTGAAAACAAACGTGACGTGTGGCTGAGTGTTGGGAGATTGATTTTTTTTTTCTCCGCCTTGGCCGCATCAGCCACGTCAGTACGTGAATGCACAGGGTGGGAAGCACAGAGTCAAATCCCACCCCCCCCCGCTATGACACGATCTTGGATTTGACGGTGTGTATCTGTTTCGCCCGCACAAGAAAGGACTAAAAAAAATAGTTAATAATATCGTGTTTAATATAGTGTTCTATCCGACTTGAATGTTACCGATGATTAGTGGAACCTTGTACTTTACTTTCTGAACCATGTATGTACATTTATATACACTCTTACATTTGCTATACTACACACGTAGGCGAACACCCACAACTTGCGTGAATTGGTGCTTACGCGGGATTACACGTAACCTAACCCCAGCCTGCGTTCCCGCGAGACCTTGCTGTATAGTACAAACATAGATGTTGCTGCACTGCCCTCTGCTGGCCACCCACGTAGCCCTCAGCAGGCAGTTATTTGTACTCTAGATTTGAAGTTATAGTGACTGCAAGGATCCATACTCTTTGGTTATTTCGGTAAAGTCACGTAGATGAAAAATAATAATAAAAATAAGAAAATGAAAATAACTAAATTAAATCGTGACGTTTCGGAGGCAACGCAAGCTTCCGTCATCAGGTGGAACAGCCACAGCAAAATTACTGTAGTGAGTAGAGAGAGATATTTGTAACAAGCGATTTTTATATAGAGCTATTTATTTTATTTTATTTTTCATCTACGTGACTTTACCGAAAGAACCAAAGAGTATTTGTACTCGTTCAGTGCATGGCAGTCGCCTACATTTGCACAATTTTAGGCTCAACCATGATTGCCTTTCCAAAAATCTGATGAGATTTGGTAGCATTGTGGGTACTGTGTCATCGGAACTTGCGTGCTTTTCATTATGAGCGGGGGTGACCAAACCTCCTGACCCTACGAGACACGAACCAAAAATCTTCATACGGCCGAGGGCCACACAAACGTGAGATGGGTTCGGCTAAGACGGGTGGTCTGCAACCCGCGTCTCCCGGTGCTGCATACTGAACATCTGTGAAAAAAGCTTTCTAGCTCATCGGATTCCTCCGGTATAAATACACATTCTGATTCTTTAACGACTGCAGTGGGCCCCTTGAAATTCAAACAAATTACTCGGTTCATCTTCTTGGTTCTTTCTGTAAAGTCATGTAGAAGGATAAAAATAAAACATAATAAAATAATTCTCACGACGTTTCGGCCACAACACAAGACAGCATCAGATGCTGTCTTCCCGACAGACCTGTTCTTCACCTGAGGACGGCTGCTTGCGTTGTGGCCGAAAACGTCGTGAGAATTATTTTATTATGTTTTTATTTTATTATTTCCCTTCTACGTGACTTTACCGAAAGAACCAAGAAGATGAATCCCTGCGGTCACGAAAGCTTTAAATCGAAAAATTACTCTGTTTTTATTGCTGACCCCTGAGCTCACCACCACCACCAACCTTTTGCCGTCATCCTTTCCCTCCCGCCGCACACAGATATGCAGTACCTGTCGCTGGCGGTGCTGAGCGGCACACTGTGCGCCATCTCGCTGCACGGCCGCGCCTCCAGCCCGCGCGTGTCCCCCGCCACCACGCCGGTGCTCTCCAAGAGCTCCAGCCTGGAGGCCGGCCTGGACCTGGAGGAGCCTGACGCGGCGTTGCTCTCCGGCATGCACTACGAGCGCTGCGGCCTGGGAGCCGCCTCGCTCAATGGCAGCCTCATCGCCGCCGGTAACGCGGGACGCGCGCACGATTTGTGAGCACAATTGAGAGTCGGAATGTCCATTTAATGAGGGTTCTTGGGTTGGATTGTGTAAATGTTTTATAATCCTCCACCGCCTGACACGGCCGGTGAGGTTTGTCACGTGAACAAAACGTGCTAATTAGTTTAACACACAGGCTTTCGCGACCAATATCCATAATATAGATTTTTTTTTGGGGTTTAGAGCACATAAATATAAATGTGTCCGTAAACCCGCCACCACCCAACAGCCAATTAGTAAGGTTTGTCACGTCAACAGAACGTGCCACTTGGTTACGAGTACAGCACACCGGTTGTGTGTTGGAGAGCAAGTCCACCGCTCGCTAAACACGTGCCAGTTAGCTAGTTCAGCCTGCCGGTGTGTTGGCGAGTAAATCCACAAGATTTACAATCGTAATATTGTTTGTGCCACACATTGGTAACACTTGTGCCGAAGGGCCTGGGTTTAAACTATAAAACTATAAACGACTTGTTTATTTTACCAGGTAAGGCCCACCAAGCTGTAAAGCTTTTTTATCAGAAGCAACCCGCCCCCACAAATGATAGCTCAACGAAGTGGCTTATCAAGTGGAAATCTATAGCAACCAAATACTCTCAAACACAGGTCTCGAAATGCGGGAGAGAAAAACCCACACGACCATGGGGAGAACATGCAAACTCCAAATATACAGGCGTCAAGAGTTGTAATCGAACCCACGATCTCCTCTACCAGGCCAAGGTAGTTAACATCTCACCACCGTGGTGCCTGGGTTTCCTATTCCCCCCCCCCCCCCCCCCGCTCACTAAGCACGCACACACGGCTACCTTGTTGATGATTTTTTTTTCCCCCCATCTCTCGTCCTTCGGCAGGCGGCTACAACCGGGAGGAGTGTCTGCGTACCGTGGAACGCTACGATGCCAGCACGGACAGCTGGTCCTTCATCGCGCCCATGAACACCCCACGTGCTCGCTTCCAGATGGCGACGCTCATGGTATGAGGGCCTCCCCTTCCTCCCTCCCTCCCTGCACACCCACAAAGTTCCCGTAAATGCACGGTCAGTTGATTTGAAATGAATGCTTACACTGAGTCGTGTGTGGAAGTCTATTCTTTTGCACTGTCACCGTCCACTGGCCTTTGTTATTCTTAACATTTGTCAATTCCCCTTGGACCACGGAGCGTGTGGCTGAGAGCGTTTTAGGGGCAGGCGAGTAATTACAATTCGTGTAAAAAAATATATAGATTAAAATTACCCTCCATTTTCCCGGCTGGACATCTGTGCAAAAGAGCGTCATAGTTCATCGGATTCCTCCAGTATAAATAAATTGTGATTCTGAGAAAAAAATTATTCAGATTTTCTTTCAGTTGTGTAACTACGCCTATTACCAAATCACACGGGAGTTTTCCCGGGCTCGTCGGATCTCGGAGGCTAAGCAGGATTGAGTCTGGACAGAGCTGGGCTTGGGTGATGACCATGTATAAGGCGGAGCGGAGATATGTAGATGACGGAGCAGTGCAACAAATATCCATTGTTGTGCTGCATTTCTATACTCCCACGTCTGTGCTCCCCTCCATCACCAACGTGTACTGACCAGCGCGCGGTGAAGTGGTCAAACAAAACCTGCAAGGCGCGTGGAAAGGCCTGCATGGATTTTTTTTTACCTTTTTATGTCCATTTTCAGAGCAGTTTAAAAATAATAACAGTAAAAAGTGCGGTTGATTCACGTTATACCCTGGCAGCAGAGGTCGCAATTGGGTACCCGATACCCGGCTACCCGTACCCAGCCGGGTACGGGTAGCCGGGTACGGGTAGCCGGGTATCGGGTAGGGTACGGGTACCCGTTTGCGACCCTGGTGCGGCCGGGTACGGGTAAGGAATCAAAACTCGTTTGAGACCTCTGCCTGGCAGTAAGGTGGCCACCAGGAGTAGCTCCCCACCTGAGAACCTTCGTTCAAAACGAGGCAAGCTGTGGTTGAACTGGGTTCTGGTCTCGCCGTTTCGTTTCTACCGCTCGCTGCAGGAGGCTGCTCTGTACGAAACCCAACACCAAATCACGTAACACTACCATCCTCAACCAAACTTGCGTGTGTGATCCGTCTTTGTTACGCTGGTGTGTTGCGAGGTAGACCCCCCCCACCTCGCACGCAGACATTTACAAAGGGCATTGTTTACAAGTGCGGCAATAATGCCACCAGCAGCTCGCCCGGACTTGAGAAAAAGGCAGGCGTGCCAATTTTGGCGGCCGAACAAATGTAAGATGATGCTCTCTTTAAGATTACACGGAACATTGGCTGCTGCTGCTGAATAGAATTGAATGGCTTTTGACTACAACTCGGATGAGATTATTTACCATCGGGCTTTCAACAGTAATGCTGTGATGACCGTTCAGACCGTTCTGTTTTTAAGAACACGTGTGATTGTTTTAACGGAACGCTCACGCACTTTCTTTGTAAAAATAGTCTTGTAGGAAAATATTTCCTCCCATGACGCATTACCACCCAACGTCGTTCCTACCCTGTACGTTAACTTTTTAGAAGAGGCAATCTATTGGCAGAGTGGTCGGCACACTGCTATGAATCCAAAAGGTGTCTGGGTTAAGCTTTGTCATCTCATCATTTCTCCAGCCAATTTTAAGTACAACTTTAGGGGTACGTTGCCTATGACCAAATCGCCCGGAAAGTGTCCAATCTTGTCAGGTCTCGGAAGCTAAGCTCAGCTTGGATAGTGCCTGGCTGAGTGACCACCATGTATAAACCAGGAGTTTGAGGCCGCTGTAGGGTTATGGTGGAAAGCAGAGGGCAGGGCAGTGAAATGGGACTGGTTTCCCCTTGGTCTGTGCAGGTTCGGTTTGTATGATTTTGTGAATATGCGGCCAACCTTTTTCCTACCCTAAATTCGAGCTGTGCGCTTTGTATTCGAATCTACATGCGGCTATGTGGTCGGATGTGGGACAACAATGTGCACTGTGTGTGTGTACCGTGTGTACAACGAGTGGAGCGCTGGGTTGCTAATACACAGCAAGTTGGCACAGTTGGTGGCACAGGTGGTGCATAGGCCAGTCATCTCAGCGAGTCGCGACCCATGGCACCTGGGTCTGTCCCGTGACCTCCTGCCAGCGGGCGTTTGACACTTCACGTGGCCTTAACGTGCACATAGCCTGGCACAAGCACCGTGATGACGTCCCCGTCACTTGGCGAATGTTGGTTGGTGGTGTTGTACTGTGCGTGTACTGCGTGTACTGTGTGCAATACTCGGGAGGCAGCTGTCGCCTCGCTTTACGCGCCCTGTTTTTGGACCGTCTACTACCAACTGCCACTAACTACTACCTGCTACCTACTACCAACTGCCACTACTACCTGCTACCAACTGCCACTAACTACTACCTGCTACCTACTACCAACTGCCACTACTACCAACTACCAACTGCCACTAACTACTACCTGCTACCTACTACCAACTGCCACTACTACCAACTACCAACTGCCACTAACTACTACCTACTACCAACTGCCACTACTACCTGCTACCAACTGCCACTGCTACCATGTAGAGGGGGGGGGGGCCCTTTTGTACTTTCCTGCAAATTTTCTTCTACCCCCACGTTCAACCGGCAATGGACCCAGCGTGTTGAGAGTGTGGTCAAAGGAAACCCACATGCCCTGCATGGCGTGTGCGGAGGCAAAGTGGACTACACGACAACAGGGCTGTGTACGTTTGAGAAGCAAATAGTGACCTTTGTCCGTATTGAAAGGCTGCCGCCCCCTCCCGACCAGAATGTTGAGCACAAACCTCCGTGATGGTTTGCACGGGGAAGTCGCGCGCGATTTTTGACGTTGGCTGCTCGTTGCAGGGCAAGCTGTTTGCCAGAATGTTGAGCACAATTGACCAGAATGTTGAGCACAAACCTCCGTGATGGTTTGCACGGGGAAGTCGCGCGCGATTTTTGATGTTGGCTGCTCGTTGCAGGGCAAGCTGTTTGCTCTTGGAGGTTCCAACGGACACTCGGACGAGCTGAGCTCTGGGGAGGTTTACGATCCAGATGCCGACCAGTGGATGTCCATCCCTGAGCTTCGCACCAACCGCTGCAATGCAGGTCAGCAGTCGTCCTTGTTACGCTTCGTGGACATTTCATTACTCGCTCATAATAATAATAATGATCTAAAAAAAATGTATGTGCAACTCAGAGTATTTTATACATGACAAGCGCTTTGTCTTCGCATTACTCCTCGACACGTTTGAAATGGGTATCCCCAATGCCGGCTGTCAAACAAAAGTCGACACGGCGCATGGCCTGTAAACTCGCTCATTAGTCCAGCAGTGTTTATTGCCTTTTTTTTAAAGTGTCTTGTGATACGATCGCATTAGAACGCGCACTATAAATCCACGTATTGTCTTCAAAAGGTGCTGCCGATCTTCATGCTGCATATAACCCCCATGCCCCCTATTGCCGCCTATTCAGGTGTGGCGGTGCTGAAGGATCGGCTGTACATTGTCGGTGGATCAGACCCCTATGGCCAGAAAGGTCTGCGGAGCTGCGATGCCTTCGACCCGATCTCAAAGACGTGGATCACTTGCTCGCCGACAAACACTCGTAAGCTTAGTTTTGATTCGCTGTTATTACACTGGTCAACACACTTTTTCTGGCATAAGGTATTCCAACGGTTTGAATGTAATTTTGGGGTGCTGATTCCAAATCTGGCATCAGTTTTTGTCCATCACATCAGGTTTTTGAGATGTCAAATATTGCATTTTCAATAAAAACTGCAGAAGAAAAATATGAAATAAATGTGGATATCTACATAAAATGATATTATAAACACACTATCCTAAAAATACAGCACCATATTTAAACACTAAAGCAGTCACTGACTCGCAACAACTTGCAATCATAAGTGACAGAGTTAATTTCGGGTAAAATCAATGAAAATGGGATATGCCGATAGCATAAAAATGAGATGTGATAGAGCAAATCTGAGATCAGATTTGGAATCAGCACCCTGAAATTAGTCTAAAACAGCTGCAAAAGTCCAGGCCAGAAAAAATTGTTTTTTTTTTGTTGACCAGTGTTATTATTGTTCATTGTGCTTGTATATGCCGGAAATCATCGCTGAGTTCGCGATAGACTTTTTTCCGGAGGGTCCTGTAGGGGGGACGATGTTGCTGCTGCTGTGTGAAATTTCAGTTGAGTAATTTGCAGGTAATATTTTAGCAATGGGATGTTTGGCCATGGTGGCAAGATGTAAACAACCTTGCCTGTTTTACAGGAGGTCGTGGGCTCAATCCTGACCTGGAGTTTGCATGTTCTCTCTGTGGTCATGTGGATTTTTCTCCAGAGTCTTCCGTTTTTTTTCCCTCCACATTTTAGAAACATGCATTTTAGAGTATTTGGCTGCTGTACATTTCCACATGATAAGCCACTTCGTTGAGCTATCATTTGTGATTGCCAGGTCGCTTCTGAAAAAAATAGTTGTATAGTTTAGTGGGCCGTACCCAGTAAAATAAAAATTGTTTGGTTCAATGTATTATTATTTCGGCTGTGGGAAGAATCTGTGAGGAACCCAGAGGAATCGCATGTGGAACAGATGTAGAACATGGTTTCCCCGAGTTGGGATCCGAACCCAGGCTGTGTTATGTCTGAGGCACAAGTGTTAACCACTGCGCCATCCTGGCGCCCTTGAGAGAAAGATAATTACCTTTGTGCTGACAAAGAGTTTGAGAAGAAGAGCGGCTAATGATGAGAGGGTGGCTGTTTATGATATGGCAGGGATATTGAGAACACTGATCAGTGGCTTCAGCAAAGACTGTGACGGTAGTAGTAGAAGTAGTTGTCGCCACAGCAATGAGGAGAACACAGATGAACCATGAGCGAGTAGAGATTCACGGAGGAGACGTTGACAGTCAAGGTTGACGGTAGTAGCCATAAAAATAGCAGTAACAGATGCAAGAAGATGTATCAAATTAGGATACGTGTTTTTCATTTGTTTGGCACTTGAATTCATAAGTGTCTCAAATGTGACGGTGCATTAGTAACTACTAAACTACTGTGGATGTTACCTCTCCTTTGTCTTCAGCGTATCCCCCTCTTGGAAACTGAAAATCGGTGATTTTGAGAGGCGATGTAGTAGTGATACTCTTAGTTCTTTCGGTAAAGTCACGTAGGTAAAAAATGAAATTAAAATGAATAAAAATTTACCTACGTGACTTTATCGAAAGAATTAAGAGTGAATCCTTGCAGTCACGAAAGCTTCAAATCTAGATGTAGTAGTGAGTCCGCTCAGTGCTGAACCGTCAGACAGTAATTCGTTAAATTCATAAAATCTCCCCGTCAGTCGGGTGAAACGTGTCTTGTTCTAGGACGTGGTCACCACCCCCTGCAATTTGTGCTCTGCTCTGGGCTCGTGTTGAGCTACAATAAAAAAAATAATTGTTGAAAATTGGTTTTTTACCCTTCTATCTGGCAACAAAACTGACACCTTTTTACAAGGAGTCATGTTTGCATAGACCACAATACCTGCAGTCATAATGCAAACAAAAAAACTATTATCAGAGTTGTGTTTTTATTGCATTATGACTGCAGGTATTGTGGTCTATGCAAACATGACTCCTTGTAAAAAAGTGTCAGTTTTGTTGCCAGATAGAAGGGTAAAAAACCAATTATCATATTTTTACTGGCAAATGAGGTTCCAATGGTGTAAAAAATAATTGTTGCTCCGTACGTAAATATATTAACGCCACGACCTCGCCTCGCCCGACCCACCAGACCGGCACCAGGCGTCGGTGTGCGAACTGGACGGCTTCCTGTACGTGGTGGGTGGCAGCGAGGCGTGGAACTGCCTCAACACGGTGGAGCGCTACGACCCGCTCGCAGACACCTGGTCCTTCGTGGCGCCCATGAACGTGGCGCGTCGCGGCGCCGGCGTCGCTGCCTACAACGGTATTCATTGGTGATGGGGGGGGGCTGGGGAACGGGGTGGGGGGGGGGGGGCTGGGGAACGGGGTGGGGGGGGTGGGCTGGGGAACGGGGTGGGGGGGGGCCTCGCTCTCTGAGGTTTTTCTCTCGTGCTTAGACTTTCTTACGAGACCCAGACTTTCTCTCCACAGGTCCTGCCGGTGTGACGCATTTTTAAATCCTATATATTAAGTTCGCTTGCTTGCTTGCTTGCTTAGGACCGTGCAAATCTTTCGGTCGTTTTTTAACCCACTTGCCGTGATCCAATCGAGCTGACATTTTGCACGCAGACTCGTTGTGCGAGACAATTAATGTTCGTGAAAAATTTTTCTCCAAAATTTTACACTGTTTAGGACAAAAATATTATATTTAATTACCAATTGCTTAATGCTGCCATGCAATCATCTGACTCATAGGTGGCAGCCATCTCAAGCCAGAGGACGAGAGGACTCTAGCCGCCACGCATATAAAGGATTTATAGTGAAAAACTTTGTTTTTACGGGTTATACTTGTTAGAGTATTTGATAAGCTGCTTCGTCACGGTGGCGATGTCAACAACGTCGCCTGGTATACAGGAGGTCATGGGCTTGATCCTGACCCTTGACACCTGCTGTATATTTGTAGTTTTCATGTTCTCCCCGTGGTCACGTGGATTTTTCTCCGGTGTTTCCCTCCCCATGTTTAGTAACATTTAGAGTTTTTGGCTGCTATAAAGTTCCACGTGACGACGAGTTTATAATTTGTGATCACCAGGTCCCTTCCGATAAAGAGCTACACGGCTCCAGTGGGCCTTACACCTGATAAAATAAAAATAGTTTAGTTTCAGTCATGTCATCCCGGTGTCATGGCAAAAGATGAAAGTGTCCAATTGGATCGCCCGCAGAGCAATGCAACCCTCCCCAACAGTGTTAACGGAACCGTCCGTGGAAGCGGATACCACAGAACGACCTCCTGAGAGCCTTTCAAGTAACCTGGGTTGATGCAGCAGTGGCGGGAGGGCACCTCAAAGCCTTCCCAACATTTTGATCTCTCATCCTCCTTTGTCTGTCTCTCATTCCACCAAACAAACAGCACAGATTGTTTTTATTGTTTTATATATATATTATTGTTTCCCTTCTACGTGACTTTACCGAAAGAACCAAGAATATGAATCCCTGCAGTCACGAAAGCTTAAAATCTAAATTTAAAACACCACAGACTTGGCACCATCTCCTACCTCACTGGTTTAAGAGGGCTTGCTCCAGCCCCTCCGACGCTATGGGCCTGTGCCCATCTCTTGTTCCACACCATAAGGCCGCAACAATCACCCGGGACGGTCTTTAGCAGCTTTCTCCACTTCACCCGAAGACATGGCCATGGTCTTCGATTCGTCTTGAATGGTGTGTCGCCAGGTTCTCTTCGGCCTGCCCCGTGGTCTCTCTTGTTATGGTGTCCACTGTAAGGCAGTTTTCGCTATGGACTTGGGTTCCATTCTCAACACGTCCCCATACCACCCGAGCCTTCTCTCTGTTACGTCCCGCGTTAAGCATCTTGCATTGGTCTTGATGTACAAAGACGGAGTTCTCCCGTATAGCCTCAACAGATTGTAGGGGCAAGTTCTGTTAGCGAGTAGCAGCACCTAATGAAGGCCGGCACAGCACTCGAAGGGGGTGGGTGGCCAACACCACACCCGGCCGCCTCTGTCTCCCCAGTGGCGATGTTTACACACTGCACCAGGTACTCATTTGATTCCGAGTCGACCTAAGGGAGGCCCAGGACCGGTTCAGCGGTAATCGAACTCAGGTCGCCGGGTTTGTAGCGCAGCACTGATACCCGCTATACTACCACTCCACCACACACGCGCGCACATCTGCTGCCCATACAAACTGGAACATTTGACACCATCGCCCGCTCGCTCGCTCACCCGCCCCCCCATCTTCTCGCTCTGCCCGTCCCTCCAGGCAAACTGTTCGTGGTGGGCGGCTTCAACGGCGCCAGCTCTCTGGGCGCGGTGGAGGCGTACGACCCGGCACGCGACGAGTGGACCGTGCTGGCCAGCCTGTCGGTGGTGCGCAGCAACGCCGGCGTGGCGGTGGCCGGAGGGCGCCTATACGCGGTCGGCGGTTTCACCGGCGCGCAGTTCCTGCGGTCCGTCGAGGTTTACGACGCGCAGGCCAACCTGTGGTCCCCGTACATCGCCATCAAAAGAGAGGCCGATCTGTTGGAGGGGGAGGAGGATGAGGAGAGGAGTGAGTGATGAAAGAAAAGGGGGGGGGGCCTTTTTGTTGCCAAGATGACACGTCGCTGCCAACTGGAGTAGGGTTTGTAGAGGAGGGGGGAGGGGTCCCTCTGCATGCGTTTTTTTAAACCCCTTCCAACAAAGGTTTAAAGCATTATTTCATTATCTCCTGCTGTAGCGGGGTCGTAAATAGGATCCAATGTAGATTCAGTTTTAGCGTCAAATTTTGTTGTCGTTTAGAGACTTGCCCGACTGGAAAAGCAAAACAGGATTGACCCTGACAGTTTCCCAATAAAGTCACGTAGAAGGGAAGTAATAAAATAATAAAAATAAAACATTCTTCACCTGAGGACGGCTGCTTGCATTGTGGCCGAAACGTCGTGAGAATTATTTTATTATGTTTAATTTTATTACTTCCCTTCTACGTGACTTTACCGAAAGAACCAAGATGATGATTCCCTGCAGTCACGAAAGCTTTAAATCGAAAAGTTTCCCAATACATGATGATACAAACACCGTGATAACGGTGAAGCCCTTTGTGACTGAGGCGATGACGTCCTACGTCATGCGCCGTGAGATGTCATCTCGTTGTGGCCACTTGAAAAGCAACGCGCGTTGAAAAGCGATACAAAATCCATGCATATCGTGCGTGATTTTAATTTGTATTATTTTAATTGGTTCTACCGCTCACGAGGTGGCTGAAATTAATGCGCGTAAGAATGTTGACCGTTGCCGATCCATCGTGCTACTGGGCTGCCGGATAATGGAATCCGTGCAGCTGCCAGAAGTTGTACGTGCAAAAATAAATTCGAATTTTTGCAACTCCCAATTGTTGATAATTTTGCGGACGCAAGTCGCTAATCCTCCGTTTATCCTGCCTGAACGTTTAATTGGGGTCGAGCCGGCAGAATGCTTGGATGGGTTACCACCATGAAGAACCAAGCAATTGTTGTCGGCTCGTACAAGACTACATGATCCGGCACGAGGCCAGTGCAGCGATAGCCTCGATTGTGCCATAATACGCTCCGTGCTCCCTCCTGCCTTCAGAGGCACCCGCACTGACTTTGACGCGGCAATGTGTACGGTCAATTAACCGCCACGGGACCCGCAGGGTGTCGGGGAAGGGCACTGGTCCAGCAGTGGATTGCCAAAGAATGACTTGGCGATGCACGTTCAAACCTCGGTCCTAAAACTCTGAAGCCAAGGCCACGTTTTGGACTAGAATCTCAAGTGTAATTGCCTGGGGGGAGTTCACAAAAGCCACATTATTTATGAACATTTTGGATTCCGTACGAATGGTTGAGGCTTCAAGAGACGAAGCTCCCTTGGGATAATTTGTATTCGCTGCGTTGGTTGTTTGCGAAGGACTAAGATGCCCATAAACAACTTCCACTTTGAAACTTAAAGTCCTAATCGGAAACTCGCCCCGTCTTTTATGCTCGTTGCAGTTGGCAGCTACGTTGCCATCTTGTCGAAGGTCGAGCGGAGGATTTGTGGTCGTGCAAGCTGATCTATTGATTGCAGATGTAGTAATATATTTAGATGTTTTAGTCACATTTTTAAGTTCTCTTCATACAAGTGGCCATTAAAGTACATTTTAGTTTTGACAAACTGGCATCAACGTTTGTGTTTTCATTTATATTCGAATATCAAATAGTAGATCATTGCCTTGTCTTTTTTAAAACTTCAGTTTCCAGTGATGGCAACTTAAAAATGAAAATGCTTTCAAAGATATGGGTTTAGGGCCAAGGATTCTGAAACACCTATTTTATTTTTACTGTTACAAGCGCCCTGTCCTGGGGTCACGGCCGAACGGGCACGGCTCGCTCGGCACCAGGTTTTTTCTTTTTTTTTCCACTGCAAAATCAGAGCCGTGCCACTGGCGTCAAACGACACAATGAACGTGTCGATGATCCTGTTTTTTTTTTTATCTTGCCCGCCTGCGGGTCACGCATTGTGCGTTTCCGACACGCGTGTGTAGGGTAACTGGCGTTGTCGCGTGCTGCGATCGCATCGGTAACCCGACCACACCGTGGCGGGGCCCGGCTTGTCGCCCAAAACAGATCCAAACCTCTCGTGAGGAGGGCTCGTGCCAGAGGTCGCAAACTGGTTTTGATTCCTTACCCATACCCGGCCGCACCAGGGTCGCAATCAGGTACCCGATACCCTTACCCTACCCGTACCCGGCCGTCAGGTACCCGATACCCGTACCCGGCCGGGTATCGGGTAGGGTACGGGTATCGGGTACCTGATTGCGACCTCTTGGATGAAGCCATTTTGCAGGCGCGGGTGGGTTGATTCTAGGAACTTGAATTGTGAGAAGAGACAAGACGTTGGGAAATGAGTGACAAACGGTGACTCACCAGTGACTCACGGCCTACCCGTACCCGGCCGCACCAGGGTCGCAAACGGCTACCCGTACCCGGCCGGGTACGGGTAGCTGGGTATCGGGTAGGGTACGGGTATCGGGTACCCGGTTGCGACCTCTGGCTCGCGCAGAGGGTCGTCGGCAAGCAAGATAACAAGAGGAGCCGGGTTTTTTTCGAATACGGTAAAAAAAAAATCTTAATTCAGGAGCCATAAGTGCAATGTTGTGAATACGGGACGATGGGTACCCTTTAATAAATAATAGTCTCACGAAGCGGTCCTTCAAAGAACCGCAGGTCGCCCAACCCCCTGCCCACGCTGAACTGGGCTTCCGTGGTCAAGGGGATTAAAGGTAGCCAAAATGACAAAGAAGAGGCAATTTTTTTCTTCTCGAATTTCAAGAGCTGCCACCGCAAGCCCCCTTTTTTTTTTAAAGCGCCACCACAGGTTGGCGACCTCCCCCGCTGTGCCGAGTGCGAATCGCGACTCGGTTAGTGCTCGGCACAGCGAAATAGCCGTAATGATCCCCATGGCACTGGGCTCGGCTCTGATGTGACGGTGGGAAAAGGGGGGGGATGGGGTGGAAGGTTTTGTCGGGAGGAGTTGATCGTTTGTGGGAAATGTCAGCTTTCTTGCATCTCACTTGTCGGCTTCAGTAGTGACGTAGACATTGTGTTTAAACCTTGGTATAAACAATACGTCAAGTTGAAGCAACTATCTCGGCTTTATATCATCAAAAAATGTCGAGTGTTCTTCTTGATGAAGTTGACGATGTTTTATTATTTCCTGATTATTGTTTTTGTTAGAAATGAACGATTTTTTTTCCTTCAACATATTCACAATTAAATTCATGTGGAAGGAGGGCGTCAAACCTTGGTGAGGTATTTCTGAAATCGATCTGATGCTCATGTTTATATTTTATCTCCCCGAGGGGAAGGTGTGTGCATCTCCACCCCCCCCCCCCTCTCCCGCAAGCTATCGTTCAAGTTATGTTTTCTTTTGCTCGTTAGCATCAATCTTTTGCATGTTTTTTTTACGAGCCACGTGTTTCTTTAGGCAGTCGCTGGGAATCTTAAACGCACCCGGAAAATACGCAGAACGCGTCTGGTACGTTGCTTCAAAGGCGAAGGGAGGGGCACGGGCAAGTGGAGTTCCACACCTTGAGAGGCAATGAGTTGTTGCAACTAAAACAGTGGGGGGGGGGGGGGGGGGAGTTGGGGAAACCTGCAAATCGATCATCCCATGCAACTGCTTTGGTCCGATTTCGATTTAAAGCTTTTGTGACTGCAGGAATTCATCTTCTTGGTTCTTTCGGTAAAGTCACGTAGAAGGGAAGTAATAAAATAATAAAAATAAAATAATTCTCACGACGATCGATCATTCAGACGCTGTCTCCCCGACAGACCTGGTCTTCACCTGAGGACGGCTGCTTGTGTTGTGGCCGAAACGTCGTGAGAATTATTTTTATTATTTTATTACTTCCCTTCTACGTGACTTTACTGAAAGAACCAAGAAGATGCTTTGGTCCGGCGTGCGAGCCTAGGTAGTTGCTGCAACACGGTCGCGTCTGAGCGTGGACGCAAAACTTTTCTTGGTCCCACTTTTTTTTGTTACACAGCAGAGCCCCGCTCGCTTTCTGGCTAACTGCACCCACACTAGCATCAGGGTCGGGACTGAGAAATGCATCGCTTCAAATTTTCCGAGCGGATCTGCTTGAAAGGAAGAGAGGTGGGGGAGGGAAGAGCCACGCTCAGGAACGGATGCAGAGCAGTCCGCATTTAACGATTCTATTGCACGGAGCCAAATTGCGCAACTGATGGAACAGGCGTTGGACGTGGGATGCAGGGGAAAGAAAGTTGGGAATTGTTTTTTGTGGTTTATTTTTTAAGCTTTGCAGAATTATTTTGCACTGCTGGTTCGGAGGAAAGAATTGGTAGTGGAGTGTCGACTGAACGATAATGGGAAGCTTTCAAAGTATGCAATGATAGGTTTTTTTTGGTGTGTGCGCGCGTGTTTTTTCTTCTTATAGAATTGAATGACGTCACGTGTATTTATTTTGCTTCTGTGTAGTTTTAACAGGGGGAGGAAATGTCTCCATCTCGGATATCAATTTTCCTTCAATTGCGACAAAGAATGTTATTTTTCTCTCTCTCTCTCATGTTAAGGTATATTACTTTGTAAGCTATTGAACATGTGCATGGTTCGAAAAAAAACCCCGCTTGATTAAGCTCCCATCTAACACACAATAGATCAAACCACTTCATATTAGGCACGAGACCAAAGTTGAGTTTGATGGGATAGGGCTAAAACTTTTAAAATATTTCTGGGGTGGGGCAGGGTTAGATTTACTCTGCTTCTTGAAACTCGTTTTTGGTTTAACGGCGGTATTGTGCGCGGGTCTTAGCAAAGCCAATTTAAAAAGCATTTTTATTACGTTTGGTTTAAATTTTGCTTGCAGCTTACACCGGCTCTCGCGGCAGATGTTAAGCAGCTTTGAAAAGGCCTTCTTGAGTGGTTGTCTGTAGTACAAGAATCTTTCTAACCAGAAGCCTTCAATTGTGAGGGGGGGGGGGGAATTTTTGAAGTTTATTAATACTGTACCGTTACTCTCTATTTTGCTGTGTTTTAGGAAATGTGAGCGTGCGAGGGTGTGTGCGTGTGTGTGCTCAGGCATGTGTAAAAGATTTTGGTTACATTTCGAAGATGGTCGATTATTATACCAGGTTAACAAGTGCTAAAGAAAACTGGAAACCAATGCGCCATACAAAAGTTTTTGTATGCGATTGTCGGCAAAATTTATATATATTAAATGAAAAAAAAAGAAATAAAAAAATGACAAGAATTATCTGGACAGCAAATCGCTTGAATAGATTTTTAGCTTATTTTTACACGGTTTGTGAATTGCCATCACTTGCTATTTCGTGGCATTTTTAATAACACGGATGAAAACAACGCATCGTTTTTGGCAAGTAACACCCAATAGACTCCCACTAATGTGCGTGCGTGCGTTGACCCAAGTTGTTATTTCAGCTCGATCACTAATGGGGTTGCCGCGATATTTTTCACGACACAATATTTGCATTGATGACACGACGATTTCTCGCCAAATTCCTCCACCTTGTAATTGTTTCGCATTATTTGCTTACAAGATTCTGTGCTATGATGGGAACTTGGGAAGCTTGACCTAAAATGTTAAGTTCTTCAACTGCAAAACATTTTTTTGAAGCAACCTTGTATTTCTGAATTTAAATGTGCCACAATCCTGATTTTTTAATGTGCGAAATCGGACGATGTTGGTGTCGTCAATCTTATATTGTAAACCGTAGTGTCGCCTTATCACGGTTAACCCTGGCATGTAAACAAAATCTGCTTTGACAAGATGTAGAACTCCGAAAAGATGTGGGATTTTGAGAACTCATTTACCTAATAACAGGGTTCTTCAACTGAACACTCAAGTGGGCCATAATAGAATTGGCATGTGCTCATGGGGACGGGGGGGGATGACCGGTTGATCTTTTGTGAACAGCTTCCACGGTGTCACCTCGTGTGGCATCACGAAGTCTGTCGTCCATGGGACTCAATTTGTGTCTTGTCCACAGCTCTCATCCGTATCTCCAACATGTACCCCTCGTCTTCAGATCTTGTTTAGATCTCGTTTAGTTCTCGATCTCGCAGAGCCGTGTCTATTCACGGGCCACGCACACTCGGTGAGCCCTTCCAAGAGCATAGTCCGGCCTTGATCCGGCCCACTGGGGTCTACCAGTTGAAGAACCTTGCATTTGTGTGACGTGCGCACGTTAGACACACGCTTTGGTCGAGGTAATCAATACCAAAGGTGAAGGTGGTGGCACTGATTACGGATTTGTGACATGCGTAGCTGCCGAGCTTAAGCGACTGCTGCTGTTTGCCGGTGATCAAAATTGGTGGGAGTCGCCCGTATGATGATGATGATGACGATGATGATTTCCTTTTTGCCGTCTCGTAGCAAATTCAAATAAACTGTAGCGAAATAAGCCCCAATGTTGGTGTGTGATGTCTGGTTCATTTTAACGCTTGGTATTTATTTCTAAAATTGTGTTGTCGGCAGTCTGTCACCGAGACAAAGTGTCTGTGTCCTTGGGGTCTCGCTGAGCAATTCACAGGAGCGTCGGTTCGGTTTCATCTTCTGGCGCGGAAGTTAAAATTATTTTTAAATCCTTTATATTAAGTTTGCTTGCTTGCTTACGACCGTGCAAATTTTTCGGTCGTTTTTTAACCCACTTCCCGTGATCCAATCGAGCTGACATTTTGCACAGACTCGTGCGTGACAATGTATTTTCGTGAGAAAAAATTTCCAAAATTTTACACTTTTTAGGAAAAAATTAATCATATTTAATTACAATTGCTTAATGGTGGCAGCCATTCATCTGACCCATAGGTGGCAGCCAACTCAAGCCAGAGGACGAGAGGACTCTAGCCGCCACGTATATAAAGGATTTATAGTAAAACCTTGTTTTTACGGGTTATACTTGTTTTAAAACCCCGCCCACCCCACCTCTGTTCAACCCAGCAGTATAAATGGTTACGCACACGGTAACATCGTCGTCATCCTGGAAGACAATGAAATGCCTGTTTTACTGGTAGGAACCCACTGGTTCCACCAGCCCACAGAGGATTATTGTGTCCGTCCGTCGTGCAGGGAGTGGCTGGGTGGGGAGGGGCTGGTCACCCCGTGGTGCCCTTATAAAACTCAACGTTTAACCTACTCACGCCGGCTTGTGCCCGCCCTCAGTCGGGCATATTTGCGGAATACACCACGCCGCCGTTGACCCTGGCCATTGACCGAGCAACCCAACGTTCCTACCAGCTCCCTCCGCAGGACAATGTGTTTTATAGAGCTCACCCATAAGAGACCTGTTTGCCAGCAGTAGTGTTGAGGAAAGCAGTTGAGCTACGGCTCAATGCATTATAGTATTTGGGCACTGGAAATGTATTGCTTCACATCAGATATTGGTGCCAGAAATGTGTGGCCACGACTTTAGCATATTGGCACAAGACGGAGAAGAATGTGGAAACAAAAATGTGCAGTGGAGACCTTAAGGGCTTTCTGCCCCATGGATTGTGATGCTGACCAAATGCCGTTGCGCGGTTTGTACAACAGACGGCGCACCAGTTGAACTCGCCAGCCGGTCGGCTCTTCTGTCCGTTCCTACGTTCTGAAGGTCATACACGAGTCCAAATCCTGTCCCATAAGTCCCTGGATTCTCGGTAAAAAATTATCCATCTCATCGCATATCCTTTAGATATTGGTGCAAATTCAACTATAATACATTCACCCGTGTTGTGGAGAATATCGGTAACATAGATACGCAGAAAAAGTATGTGTCCCACATCTATTCACAAAGAATGAAGGTATTTTTTTTCTCATACAATCCTCCCACGGCTGGTATTTTGTGGGGGTTACTTGACAATAAATTTCGATTTAAAGCTTTCGTGACTGCAGGGATTCATCTTCTTGGTTTTTTCGGTAAAGTCACGTAGAAGGGAAGTAATAAAATAATAAAAATAAAACATAATAAAAAAGTAATAAATAATAAAATAAAAATAATAAAATAATGTTTTATTTTTATTATTTTATTACTTCCCTTCTACGTGACTTTACTTGACAATACTTCACCAGAGTTGTCAGTACGGGGTGAAGGAGGGCGAGCAAACGAGATGAGCGGTGCATAGTACTGACAAAGACGCGCCTCGCCCGGATAGCCTTAACAGATGTGGGGCAAGTGCTGTTAGCGAACACATGAAGGCCGGCACCACGATCGGGTGGGTGGCCAAAACCACGCCCGTCCGCCTTTGTGTCCCCAGTAGCGATGGTTACACACGAGTTGCTCATTTGAGGCTGAGTCGACCTAGGGGAGGCCCAGGATCGGCTCTGATAATCGTCACTGGGTGTTGGACCTGAGCGGAAATCGAACTCGTGTCGCCGGGTTCATAGCGCAGCGTAGCGCTAACCGCACACGGCACGGCAAAAGATCACAGTCACATCACTGTCCCCTTGCTGTCCATAATGTAGCCATACACCGTCTCGCGTAGATGTACAATTATAAACACATTCCTGCGGAGGGAGCTGGTAGGAACGTTGGGTTGCTCGGTCAATGGCCTGCAGGGTCAACGGCGGCGTGGTGTATTCCGCAAATATGCCCCGACTGTGAGGGCGGGCACAAGCCGGCGTGAGTAGGTTAAACGTTGAGTTTTATAAGGGCACCACGGGGTGAGCAGCCCCTCCCCACCCAGCCCCACCCCTCCCCTCCCCACCCAGCCCCTCCCCACCGTCCCCACCCAGCCCATCCCCACCCTCCCCTCCCCACCCAGCCCCACCCTCCCCTCTCCACCCAGCCCCACCCTCCCCACCCAGCCCCTCCCCACCCTCCCCTCTCCATCCAGCCCCACCCCTCCCATTTTTGGATGCACGACGGACGGACACAATAATCCCCTGTGGGCTGGTGTAACCAGTGGGTTCCTACCAGTAAAACTGCTGAAGAAGGCCATCTACGTGACTTTACCGAAAGACCCAAATAATATGGATGCCTGCAGTCACGAAAGCTTTAAGTCGAGATTTGACTGGGCACCCCGAGGGCTGACGTTTGCTGCTGTTAGCTTCACATTAATTCTAGATTTGAAGCTTTCGTGACTGCAAGGATTCATATTCTTCGGTTTTTTCGGTAAAGTCACGTAGGTGAAACATTAAAATTAATAAAAGTAAAATAAAATAAAAATCACGACGTTTCGGAGGCAACACAAGCTTCCGTCTTCAGGTGGAACCGTCACAGCCACGACAGCTGTATCAAGTAAATGAGAGATTACAAGAGCTACCACTCCGTATACATAATGGTTGGAGAGGGGGGAAGGGCCAAGTACGGCACACTTTTTATTCATATGGTAAGGTGAGGCTTAAGAGGGTGAGCCTTTGTTATGGAGAGGTACGGTTTGTGACTAAGCCTGGTCTACATAACATGTTCGTGGTGCGTCAGCGATCTGTCCGAGGTCACGCCGAGGCAGACTAAATTGGGGTCATGCTCAATCCGCCTTGACCCTTGAGGACAGACGTTGAGTTCGTGGTTTAATCAGAATCAGAAACGGTTTTAATCGCCATGAAAGTTTACACATTCACGGAATTTACTATGAGCAATCTTAAAAACTCGAATAGGTGATATACAGTCTAACTATACTGACGTTACAAAGTATAACTAATACTAACGGGCTAAAGTATTTAAAATTATGAATAAGTAGACCATATAAAATGTGAATGTAAAATGTGAATTAGCCATAATATACAATCTCACTTTACTACGCGTCTCTTCGTACTCATTGACATGTAAATGTTTTCTCTACCCCCTCCCTCTCTCTGCCCCCCCCCTCTGTCTATTTAAGGCCACCCCACAGAGACGATCACCCCCCTCTCTGTGCCTGTGCTGCTCTCTCTGTGTATCTTGGTGATATCTGTCTGCTTATATGTCTGTCTATAGTTTCCTGGTTAGATTCTATGCCGCTATTTCATTATACCTGATGATGATTGCTTGTGTTGCAATCGAAACGTCGTATGCTATTATTTAATTTATTATTTTATCTTTATACGTGACTTTACCGAAAGAACCAAAGAATAATCTTAGAATACAAAGATACAAATAAGATAACACGTTGTAAGTATGACGAGTTGTAATTATGTAGATAACATTTTATGGTAAGTGTAAAAGTCATTTTAAGTGTGAACGTCATTTCGCGTTGTGCAGATGAAAAACATATTCTTAGGTTTTTTCGGTAAAGTCACATCAAAATTAATGAAAATAAAATAAATAAAACAAAAAATCACGACGTTTCGGAGGCAACACAAACGTCGTGATTTTTTGTTTTATTTATTTTATTTTACCGAAAAAACCTAAGAATATGAATCCTTGCAGTCACGAAAGCTTCAAATCAAGAACAGATGAAAAACACTGGAGACAGTTTTGGTTGAGCTTGGGGGGCCGTCCATAAATGACGTCACGCACCTATGCGGGGTGGGGGGAGGGGTCAGACATTTGTGACGATGTGTGACGAGGGGGGGTTCGAGAAATGTGACGTCACATCAAAATGCGCAACTTTAAATAAATATAGACAACACGTTCTACTTGATTAAATAGACTTTGTAATAAATGTTTTCTCCTACAACATCAGAGTGCAGCCCCACATTAAACACGCACTACAATGACAATAGTTTAAAGCGATTTGAAACATGTTTCATTTGGGGGGGGTGGGGGCAGAGCTTTGTGACGTCATATTTGAGGGGGGGGGTCTGACTTTTTGTGACGTCATGTGACGAGGGGGGGGGTCAGAAATCGTCCAAAATCGCGTGACGTCATTTATGGACGGCCCTTAAACTAAAAAGCCTGCGTGTCAAACTCATCAGATTTGAAGCCTTTCGTGACTGCAAGGATTCATACTCTATGGGAACCTCATTTGCCAGTAAAAATATAATAATTGTTTTTTTACCCTTCTATCTGGCAACAAAACTGACTAAAGGCACACAACTCAGTTTTGTTGCCAGATAGAAGGGTAAAAAAACAATTATCATATTTTTACTGGCAAATGAGGTTCCCATAGTGTAGATGCTTGCCCCGAGCTCTCATACTCTGATGGTGCATTGTCTTTGAGTTGTGCGCCTTTTGGCGTCATCTGGTCCAACATCATGTGAGACGATGCTCTAAGGAAAGCTGTCTCGGGTGTGGACCAATCAACTTCAAGGACAGTGCACATACATTATCAGACTTATGTTTTTTGTTTGTATTATGACTGCAGGTATTGCAGTCTATGCAAACATGACTCCTTGTAAAAAGGTGTCCGTTTTGTTGCCAGATAGAACGGTAAAAAAACAATTATCAGGATTCATACTCTTAGGTTGTTTTCGGTAAAGTCACGTGGGTAAAAAAATATAAATAATAAAAATAAAAAGATAATATAATAAATAATAGAAATAAAATAATGACAATAGTTTTTATTTCTATTGTTTCTTCTATAATTTTTATTATTTATTATTTCACCTACTTGACTTTACCGAAAAAGCACTAAGAGAATTAAACTCATCGATTTAAAAAACCGAAAACCACGTGGCGCTACAAACTCCACGTGACCTCCCCCCCCCCCCCCCGGTTTCCGCTCTTGGCCAATGGGGTGAGAGCTCGGAGGGGTTGGGGGCGGGGCAAAGCGGATCAGGCTACGGTGGCCGACGCCGTTCTTTAAATAAAAAAACGCGTTTTGGTGTTAGCCGGGACTTGGCCAATGGGGTGAGAGCAAGGAGGGGTTGGGGGCGGGGCAAAGCGGATCAGGCTACGGTGGCCGATTCCGTCCTTTAAATAGAAAAAACGCGTTTTGGTGTTTGCCGAGCTCCCCTATCGCTTGGGGCTGTGGAAGTGCCCGTACCCGGGTACGGGTAGCCGTTTGCGACCCTGGTGCGGCCGGGTACGGGTACGGGTAGGCCGTGAGTCACTGGTGAGTCACCGTTTGTCACTCATTTCCCAACGTCTTGTCTCTTCTCACAATTCAAGTTCCTAGAATCAACCCACCCGCGCCTGCAACGTGGCTTCATCTCAGAGGTTGTAATCAGGTACCCGATACCCGTATCCTACCCGTACCAGGCTGGGTACACGGGTAGGGTACGGGTACGGCCGGGTACCTGTTTGCGACCCTGGTGCGGCCGGGTACGGGTAAGGAATCAAAACCCGTTTGCGACCTCTGCGCCTGGGACAGGCGAGTGGGTGGTCGCGAAACGTCGTTTCTTTGTCGTCACTCAGTCGGCTTTGTCGTGGCGAGAATGCGTGTTGAGTTGTGGCGGTAACCACAGGTCCGTTTCCCTGGCGGCAGACTCTAGCACGACTACACTATATACTACTACACTATACACTACTATATACTACTACACTATACTATATACTACACTATACTATACACTACTATATACTACTACACTACTAGATACTACACTATACACTACTATATACTACACTATACACTACTAGATACTACAATATACACTACTATACACTACACACTACACTACTATACACTACACTATATACTACTACACTATGCTATATACTACACTATACTATACACTACTATATACTACTACACTACTAGATACTACACTATACACTACTATATACTACACTATACACTACTAGATACTACAATATACACTACTATACACTACACACTACACTACTATACACTACACTATATACTACTACACTATGCTATATACTACACTATACTATACACTACTATACACTATACACTACTATATACTACACTATACACTACTATACACTATACACTACTATACACTACCCTATACACTACTACACTATATACTACTATACACTACACTATACACTACAACATACACTACACTATACACTACTATATACTACTACACTATACACTACTATACACTACTATATACTACACTATACACTACTATACACTACACTACTATACACTACACTATATACTACAATATACACTACTATACACTACTATATACTACACTATACACTACTACTCTCCACTAATACACTATACAGTATACACTACTACACTATACACTACAATATACACTACTACACTATATACTACACTATACACTACACTATATACACTATACACTGATGTACACTACTATATACTACACTATACACTACTATACACTACTATATACTACTACACTATACACTACTACACTTCTATACACTACTATATACTACACTATACACTACACTATATACTACTATACACTACTACTCTCCACTAATACACTATACAGTATACACTACTACACTATACACTACAATATACACTACTACACTATATACTACACTATACACTACACTATATACACTATACACTGATGTACACTACTATATACTACACTATACACTACTATATACTACTACACTATACACTACACTATACACTTCTATACACTACTACACTATGGGTCTCTCTGTGCGAGTCTCTGTGTCTGCGTGAGTCTCTGGGTGTGTGTAAGTCTATGGCTCTCTGTGTGAGTTTCTGTCTCTGTGAGTCTCTGGGTGTGTAAGTCTATGGCTCTCTGTGCGAGTCTCTGGGTGTGTGTAAGTCTATGGCTCTCTGTGTGAGTCTATGGCTCTCTGTGTGAGTCTATGGCTCTCTGTGTGAGTCTATGTCTCTCTGTGTGAGTCTATGTCTCTCGCGACCCTCAGAAAGGGCATCTCACGCACCCAGGTGGTGGCGTGCACCCCAGGTTAAGAAGAAGAAGCACTCACGACCGCCCTTAAAGGCTTTTGCTTTGTCAATGTGAACCGATGGGCAGTGTGTTTTTTGCTTGTGGTAGGCTACGAGAATTCGTTTCTCTGCTTATTCGATGTTGTCCTGTCCCTTAAAGCTTTCGTGACTGCAGGAATTCATATTCTTTGGGTCTTTCGGTAAAGTGACATAGATGGTACAATAAAATGCGATAGCTTAAAAGCATTTAGCGCGGGGCCCGTTGCATAAGCAGCTACTTGTGGCGCTACGAGGATAATCCGCCACTGGTTTTTGTGCCCTTCCACTTCACAGCCGGGAGGACACGGGGGCGACCACCGGTGCGGCGACTGCTCCCAAACTCGCCGGCGAAGGGGGATGACCACCACGACCACCGCGACCACCGCGACCACCACGGCCAGCGACACGTGGGACGAGTCCGGCGACCCCGGGCGCGTCCATCCCCTGGCGGCCCTCGCCTCGTCCGAGGAGTTCGCGAGGACGCGGTACCGCGACACGAGCCGCCTCGTCTGGGAGCGCCAGCGGCGCGAGGAGGCGACGTCCAGCCGGGCGCAGCTGGAGGGGAGCTACCTCGTGCGCAAGTGCGGCGTGTGGACGGGCGAGCGGGGCAACCAGGCCGTGCTGGTGCGGGGCCGCCCGCCCGCTGGGGCCAACCCCGCCAAGTCCGCAGTGTGCAGCCTCATGTGACGAGCGGGTTTTTTGGGGTGTGGGGGGACACACCGTGGATTTTTATAACTTTGAAGTTGGGGGGTGGGGAAGATGCGTTCGCTCGTTCACTCGACCACTCATTCACTCAACCACAAAACCACCCACTTAACCACTCGCTCGTTCACTCAACCACTCATTCACGGAACCACAAAACCACTCACTCATTCACTCAACCACTCATTCACGTAACCACAAAACCACTCACTCATTCACTCAACCACTCATTCACGCAACCACAAAACCACTCATTTATGCAACCACAAAACCACTCATTCACGCAACCACAAAACCACTCACTCATCCACTCACTCATCCACTCAACCACTCGCTCATTCACTCACTCAACCACTCGCTCATTCACTCACTCAACCACTCGCTCATTCACTCACTCAACCACTCGCTCAATCACTCAACCACTCATTCACTCAACCACACACCCGCTCGCTGGTCCACTCGCTCAGCGAATGAGCGATGCCATTCACACAACAGAGTGGGCAGGGACGCCGTGCGTGCGAAACAAAAACGAACTTTATTAAATATATAAACAGTCAAGTTTCTCATCGCAGTGAGCACTGATATGAAACGCCGCAGCGAACCTGTTCACGTGCGCGGAGCGGCCAGGAGCTCAACGCAACGCTCGCTGGTCGGTCGACGCCCCCCTTCTCCTCGAGGTCGACCCACGGACAAGTCGCTCGCTCACAATAAATAACAGCCCCCCCCCCCCCCCACCAAGCCCCCCAACTTCCAACGTCGCAGGGTTCGGGGGGGGGGGGTACCCGGGACATCGAAATGCGTCTCCATCCGCGTCTCCCCGCCAACCACGAAAATAAAGGAATGGGAATAGTGATACGCTCGCCACCCTGCGTTCTATAAAAACACTTTACGAATATTTTTTGTTAAATCCTTTATATTAAGTTCGCTTGCTTGCTTAGGACCGTGCAAATCTTTCGGTCGTTTTTTAACCCATTTCCCGTGATCCAATCGAGCTGACATTTTGCACACAGACTCGTTGTGCGTGACAATGCATTTTCGTGGAAAAAAAATCCCAAATTTTACACTGTTTAGGGGGAAATTTTTTAAAATATTTAATTACCAATTGTTTAATGCTGCCAGACAATCATCTGACCCATAGGTGGCAGCCATCTCAAGCCAGAGGACGAGAGGACTCTAGCCGCCCCGATGCCACGCATATAAAGGATTTATAGTGAAAAACTTTGTTTTTATGGGTTTACTTGTTTTAGCTGGTGTAAGTACAACTGAGCTACAGATATTTTTCAGGAGAAACCTGGTTATCGTCGTCGTGTGGAAATTTTAATCGATCTTCATTTGAAGCTTTCGTGACTGCAGGAATCCATACTCTTTGGTTCTTTCGGTAAAGTCACGTGGGTAGAGATTAAACGAAATGAATCACGACGCTTCACAAGGCAGCAAACATCGTGCTGCTCAAGGCAGCAGACATCATCGCGACTATCGCAATTTTCACCTGAAGACGGGCGCTTGTGTTGCGATCGAAACGTCGTGATTTATTTTGTTTCATTTCTACCCACGTGACTTTACCGAAAGAACCAAAGAGCATACATTTATATCAGCCAAAGACACTGAACGTGTTACGTCGATATTCCGAACGCGTTACGTCGATTCTAAATGTCGAGCGGTAAAAACCGGAGCACCCGGAGAAAAAAAATCCACACGACGACAAAGAGGGGGAGAGAGAGAGACGCCGCAAACTCCAAATATACAGCAGCAGCAGGCATCAGGCTTGAACCCACGAGACCTCCTGTATACCAGGCGAGGTAGTTAACATCTCGCCACCATCTCGCCGCAGGTAAAACGAGAAGTTTGTGTCGCCTTCCTTGCGTTCGTTTCACCTGGGCTTGTCCCCCTCATCGCAAGTTGACTGCGTCGGCGATGCACGTCGGCAAAAAGTTGAAATAAACTCTCCCAAGTCCAGCGTGCAGCGGCGATGGGGGGCACCCCCCCCTCCTACCCCCCTACCCCCCCCCCCCACCCCTCCAACCCCCAACCCCCACCCCAAGCGACACGCTAAAAAAATACATCTCCAACAAAGTGTAAACTGCAGCACGGGCCGGGCGCTCGCTCGAAACGTTGCCCCCGTCGGCCGTAAACCGTTGGTTGTTTTTTTGCCTTCTGACCACGAGGGTCAAACTCACTCGCTCGCTCGTATTGGAGGGGGGGGGAGAGGGGTAAAAAAACACAGCGGGCACCCCCCCCCCCCTCCCCAGTCACTGCAGCTCTTCCTTCAAAACCCCGCCAGCACCCAACGACGACTGACCGAGGGAGGCCGGCGGGAGGCGCGCAGAGAGAGACGCGAGGAATGGAAGCGACGCCGTGATGCCGGGGAGGGGGCAGGGGGGGGGGGCACCACCAACACTCCCCCCTCACAACCCCCTCGAACCCCCCTCCCACGGGCCACAGCAGGGTCGGTGCTCGTCACGAAGATCACGCACGGACGGACAGACACGCACGGACGGACAGACACGCACGGACAGACACGCACGGACAGACACGCACGCACGGACAGACACGCACGGACGGACAGACACGCACGGACGGACAGACACGCACGGACAGACAGACACGCACGGACGGACAGACACGCACGGACGGACAGACACGCACGGACGGACAGACACGCACGGACGGACAGACACGCACGGACGGACAGACACGCACGGACGGACAGACACGCACGGACGGACAGACACGCACGGACGGACAGACACGCACGGACAGACAGACACGCACGGACAGACAGACACGCACGGACAGACAGACACGCACGGACGGACAGGCACGCACAGACAGACAGACACGCACGGACGGACAGACACGCACGGACAGACACGCACGCACGGACAGACACGCGCGTTTGCCCCCCCCCCCCTACCCCGCCGCCCAACTCCCTTCTTGTTAATCTCTCGCCAAGAAACACTCGTCATGTATATTTAAAAAAACTAGAATAATAACTCGCGCTGCCTGGCTTCTAGAGGAGCGGACAACAAACGGCGGACGGCCGCGGGATTAATTAAATTAAATAAATAAATATGCCGCGCGCGTAACGCAAATAAAGTTAAGGACGACGACGAAAAGGCGGCCCAACAATAGCGGAGCGGGGGTGGGGAGGGCGCGTGCGTGTGTGTGTGCGTCTGTGCGTGTGCGTGCGCGTGCGGTGGGGGATTAATAAATACGATACGACGGTGGCCGGTTCTGCGGAAGCGTGAAATGTCGGTGGTGGTTGGGTGGCGGTGTCGGAGGAGCGGCGTCCATCTCCACCCGCTCTCCGGCGCGAGCAAGCGAGCGAGAGGGCGAGGAGAAAAATCGATCGTCGCTGGGACTTCTTTTTTGTCGAAATCGCCCTCCCTACGTTGGGATCTCCTCGATCACTGTTGCCGACGTCATCGTCGTCTTTCTGCAAGCGGCAGGCGTGTAACGACGCGTCCGTGTTACGGGCCGAAAACAAACTGCGACGCAACGCGGGTCAAACTATCCACGTGCGGAGGAGACCCATAGAGAGACTCGCGCGCGCTGCTACACATCTTTGCACAGACCCAGATGCCCGCATACACTTGCACAGACTTACAGAGAACCCATGAACATAAAAAAACTTCTACGCCACCAGCCACACACGCCGCGTGCGGTGCGGGGGTGCAGGTTTTCTTTCCCCGTCCGCTTCTACCCCCTCTGCCTCTTCTCCAGTCAGATCCACCACCGTCCTCAAACCCTCCCCGCCACAGCCACTAGAGGCGCTACATGAACCGATGCGTCGAGAGACCGAGAGAAGAAAGCATTCTTGAATCGGGAACTCCAGATGGCTGTCCGCAACACGGGTGCATCGGTAACCACGACGAGTGATCGCCTTGCCCCGATCGATCCCCAACCACGATCCGCGAGATTCCCACCAACGACACCATCGGGACGGAATAACCGCGCCGCCTTCTCCGCATCTCCCCCGCTTCGACCTGCGGTGACCCCGCCCGGCTGACGAGCATTGGCGGAGCAGACGGACGGACCCCCAGGGTGGAGCGGCGGGAAGAAGGAGAGTTGAGCGAGCGAGCGAGCGAGTGACTGTGTCGCCGGCCGCAGTCTCATCTGGACGTGACCCCGAGCGCCTGCTTGAGGTTCTCGTAGACCACGTAGCTGATGCTCACGGCCGGGATGACCTTCATGTAGTTGGGCGCAAGGCCGCGGTACAGGCCCAGCAGCCCTTCCTGGCGCACGATGGAGCGGAAGAGACCCACCATGGTGACGGGGGCGTCGCCCACGCTCGCCATCGACGCTGCGGTGAGGGGAGGGGGAAACGCAAACAGTTAGCCGAGTCTGAGACCCCGCGGGACACGTACGTGTCTATGTGGAACTTCTTTTGCAACGTGCGTAGCCAACCGTGCTAATCGGAGGAGCAGTCTAGAGTCTATGGGCAGTGTTGAGTCTATTGTGCAGTGTTGAGTCTATGGGCAGTGTTGAGTCTATGGACAAAGTTGAGTCTATGGGCAGTGTTGAGTCTATGGTGCAGTGTTGAGTCTATGGGTAGTGTTGAGTCTATGGGCAGTGTTGAGTCTATGGGTAGTGTTGAGTCTATGGGTAGTGTTGAGTCTATGGGCAGTGTTGAGTCTATGGGCAGTGTTGAGTCTATGGGCAGTGTTGAGTCTATGGGCAGTGTTGAGTCTATGGGTAGTGTTGAGTCTATGGGCAGTGTGAGTCTATGGGTGTGCCTGGAATCTTCTCCAGGTGGTCTCCAGAAATCGGAGGGGCACATTTTTGTGGTATTATAGCAAATTCTCAGAAGTGTTAACATTTTTTTGAAGCACCCTGTATAATTCAGGTGTGTGTTAAACACACACACACATAAAATGTCTCTGTGCGTCTCCATCTGTCCGTGTGCATGCGCAGGCATGGTGGTGGCGCGTCTTACCGGCGGCCTGCATGCGCGTGCGAACGAGCGCCAGCGGGTAGCTGGCGAGCTGCCCGCACGTGCAGGACACGGTGCCGCAGCACAGTAGCACCAGCACGCCGGGGTCGGCGCTCTCCGACTGGTGCCTCTGTAGCCACGCGTTCTTCAGCGTCTGCCGGGGAAAGGCACGGCGGAAACGGGCGTCACAGCGGCGATCGCACAAAGCGCCGTTCGCGAGGGTGTGGGAGGGGGGCCCCCTCGCCGAAGAGTGGATTTTGGCCGACTCTTCTACGCTGAACGGATAACTCAAACCCAACCGCATACGGCCTGCGGAGCGCCGATTTATACACGTGATGAGAACAGCTCACATCTGGGCCCATAACGAATCTCCTCATTGCTGCGGCGACTACTACTTCTACTACTGTCACAGTCTTTGCTAAAGCCACTGATCATTGGTCTGCGTTCTCAATATCCCTGCCATATCATAAACAGCCACCCTCTCAATAAATGAAAAAACACGCATCGTAATTTGATACATCTTCTTGCATCTGTTACTGCTATTTTTAAATCCTTTATATTAAGTTCACTTGCTTGCGCGCTTACGACCGTGCAAATCTTTCGGTCGTTTTTTAACCCACTTCCCGTGATCCAATCGAGCTGACATTTTGCACACAGACTCGTTGTGCGTGACAATTTATTTTCGTGAAAAAAAATTCCTAAATTTTCCACTTTTTAGGACATTTTTTTTTCATATTTAATTTAAAATACCAATGTGATCAAAATGAAACTCTTACTCAAGAAAAACAGAAATGAATAATAAAATATAACCGATGCCACGCATATAAAGGATTTAGTGAAAAACTTTGTTTTTACGGGTTAATTTTTTATGGCTACTACCGTCAACCTTGACTGTCAACGTCTCCTCTGTGCATCTCTGCCACAGCCATGCATATCACACGAACTACTCGCTCATGGTTCATCTGTGTTCTCCTCATTGCTGCGGCGACTACTACTTCTACTACTACCGTCACAGTCTTTGCTGAAGCCACTGATCATTGGTCTGTGTTCTCAATATCCCTGCCATATCAGAAACAGCCACCCTCTCATCATCAGCCGCTCTTCTCAAACTCTTTGTCAGCACCAAGGCAATTGACTTTCTGTCAAGGGCGCCAGGATGGCGCAGTGGTTAACACTTGTGCCTCGCAGAAATAGGAGCCTGGGTTCGGATCCCATCTCGGGAAACCGGTTTGTATGTTCTACATCTGTTCCACATGGGATTCCTCTGGATTCCCCAGTTTCTTCCCACAGCTGAAATAATAATACATTCAACCAAACAATTTTTATTTTACCAGGTAAGGCCCTGGCTATCACAAATGACAGCTCAACAAAGTGGTTTGCAACATCGCGTGGCATTGTATAGCACCAGCCACACACTCTAAACGCGCGATGTGAATTCTACATGCGGAGGGAAAAACTGGAGGACCCGGAGAAAAATCCACGCGACCACGGGGAGAGAAAGAGAGAGAGGCACCGCAAACTCCAAACATCGAGCAGACGGATGGACGGGACCACGTGTTTGAGAGCCCGCGTTCGGTCGGGAACTGGCAGTATCGGGACGTTCACAATGCCGCACGTGCGGGAGCTTCATTTTTACTGGCGGCCGCTGTGTTTACAGCAGAGGTCGCAACCGGGTACCCGATACCCGTACCCTACCCGATACCCGTACCCAGCTGGGTACGGGTAGCCGTTTGCGACCCTGGTGCGGCCGGGTACGGGTAAGGAATCAAAACCCGTTTGCGACCTTTGGTTTACAGCCGCATCCCCGAGTTCCCTTTTCGTCCCTGTCCAGGCACTCATCACATTCCCCCCACCTCACCTACCCCCCTCTCGTCACTTTATCCCCTTGTCATATCGTTCCCTACCCAAAAGCGTCCCAGGATTATTTTAGCCGCGTGTCCACCACCTCTGGTGGGCTCGTGATTGCAGATGCCGGGGTGGGGCGAGGGGATTACAGGTTATTGTGCTGTGTGATGTTTCTACCAGAGTGGGGGGCTTCCCGCCCCCCCCTCTCTCTTCTAAGGCGAGCTTGTATAGACTCGATGCTGACCATGCGCAGCGTGCCGGCGGTTTCGACCCAAACATTATTACTGTTACGCACGAAGCTGCGCTTGCGTTCGACGTTAATGCGAATGAATTCTGTGTGTCAACACGCGGTGTATCAGCTCCTGCGTATCAGCGTGCAGCGTGTTTGTACGAGCCGTGCCCCGGCCTGCACTCGCACCTTTACGCCGCTCTTCGCTTATTCCGCGGGTTCTTTAGAAGGCGTGTGGTAAGTCAAGAGGTTCGTCTTGGAATACGCTACGCGCGAGAGTGCGCATACGCGTGCATGTGCGGTGTGTCGCCGCAATAGGTGGTGCGCGTCACATCAGTCATCCCCCCCCCGTCAGCCAACGCCTGGCACCTGGGGGGGGGGGGGGGGGGGGTCTGTCACGTGACCTCCGGCAAGTCGGTCTTCGACAGTTCACGTGGCCTAAATCGTCGCCACTAAGTCGTCATTGTTGTTGTCGTCGCTGTTATTGTTACGATTGTCGTTGTTGTCGTTGTGTCGTGCGAGACCGGATTTGTGCGGGGTCCCCTCACCTCGTACACGGCCAGGTCGATGCCGGCGTAGGGGATGATGCCCAGAATGTTGGGCACGTAGCCCTTGTAGAAGGCGAGCGTGCCCTCCCTGCGGAACACCTTCTTGGCGCAGTCCACCATGCCGCGGTACTGGCCCGTCTTGCCCAGCGTCAGACGCGTCTTGATCACCTACGGACAGACGGACACGCCGGGAGAGAGAGAGAGGGAGTTGGTCAAGGGGCAGGGGTCGGCAACCTGCGGCTCCGAATCCGCACGCGGATCTTCAAGGACCCCCCCTCGTGACGTTATTGATTAAGGACCACCGGTCGTCTCGTACTCGCCACAACGGCATTGCGACTTTGTTTGTTTTGTTACCGAATTCGAAAACAAAAACGTCTCTTCTCGTTATTTTGGTCGCCGAGCCCTTGGTCACGGGCAAACGGCGGTTCGTGGCAAACCGAGGCGGCGGGGAGGGGATTGCGCTGGTGGTGTGGAGACAGCCAGCCTGCGCCGTGTGTGTGTATGTGCGCGTGCGTGTGTGCGCGCGTGTATGTGTGTGCGTGCCGTTGCTGCCGAGGTCACGGGTGCGGCACGCGTGACCAGTTAGAACGAGTATTACGATTATATCATCAATAAATATTTTTTGTGCTATCTGGCCTCTGGGTGTGTGGGGCGTGGTGCGTGCGAGTGTGTGAGAGAACGGGGAGCGGTGGTGTAGCGGTTAGCGCGCTGCGCTAGTGTTCGATTCCCGCTCACGGCCAACACCGGTGATGATTATTTGAACCGGTGCTGGGCCTCCCCTAGGTCGACTCAGCCTCAAATGAGTACCTGGTGCTGTCTGTAAACATCGCCACTAGGGAGACAAAGGCTGCCGGGCGCGGTGCTGGCCATCCACCCCCCTTGTGTGCCGTGCCGGCCTTCATAGTTGCTCGCTAACAGCACTTGCCCCAACAGTCTTATGTTTATACGGGGAACCTTTGTGTGTGTGAGAGGTGCGCAGTGAGAAGGGCGTGGTGGGGGTCAGGTGCAAGGTGGGCGTGTGGAGGTATGTGCAGTATGTGCAAGGTATGTGGAACATGAGGAAGTGGGGTAAGTGGGGTGTATAGGACGGACTTGAGACGTGGGGCATGATATGTGGTGTACACCTCGTACACCACATATCATGCGCGTGTGAGGTGTGTGCGTACGAGGTGCGTGCGTGTACGAGGTGCGTGTGTGAGGTGTGTGTGCGTGTGAGGTGTGTGCGTACGAGGTGTGCATGCGTGTGAGGTGCGTGCGTGTACGAGGTGCGTGTGTGAGGTGTGTGCGTGTGAGGTGTGTGCGTGTGAGGTGTGTGCGTGTGAGGTGTGTGCGTGTGTGAGGTGTGCGCGTGTGAGGTGTGCGCGTGTGAGGTGTGTGCGTGTGTGAGGTGTGTGCGCGTGTGAGGTGTGTGAGGTGTGTGCGTGTGTGAGGTGCATGCGTGTACGAGGTTTGTGCGTGTACGAGGTGCGTGCGTGAGGTGTGTGCGTGTGAGGTGTGTGTGCGTGTGAGGTGTGTGCGTGTGTGAGGTGCGTGCGTGTACGAGGTGTGTGCGTGTACGAGGTGTGTGCGTGTGTGAGGTGTGTGCGTGTACGAGGTGCGTGTGTGAGGTGTGTGCATGCGTGTGCCAGGGTGAACCCTGACCTCGAGCGGGTAGATGATCGTCTGTGCCGTGGCGCCAGCGAGCGACCCGGCCACCAGCCTCTCCTGGATGCCCAGCGTCTCCTGCTGGGAGCCAATCAGCTTCTTGATCTGTGGGCGCAGGACGACAAAGAAGAAAGATCGTACACGTGCATGGATTGGGTCGCCATTTCAACCCCACGTTTGGTGGCCGTGAGAGTGGGACCGCATCGCGCTCGGGTCTCTCGCCAGTGCTAGCGACGCGCTAACCGTTGCACCGCCACTCTCCACATACGCACGCTTACACGCACACGTACGCACGAGCACACACGCTCACAAAAATCAAACTTCCCCCCCCTCCTATAGCCTGAACGCACTGTTGGGGCAAGTGCCGTTAGCGAGCACCCACGAAGGCCGGCATGCTCACATACACTCGGGCACACACGGACACACGAGGGCACGCTCACGCACCTGCTCATACGCCATGAACTTAATGGCTGACTCGGGCGCGATCTTGAGCGCGTTGACGAGGTTTCCGCGCCACAGGGAGCGCACGCCCCCCTCGCGCAGCATGTGCCTCATGCCGCTCACCATGCTGATGCTGTTCGAGCGCGATGCCTTAACCTGCACGCGTGCACAGACACGCGCACACAGACAGGCGCACACAGACAGGCGCACACAGACAAACACACACACACATTCGCGCACGCACGCAGACGCACGCACGCACGCAGACGCACAGACACATGCACACAGACACACAAACACACGCACGCAGACACACGCACAAACACACACACACACACACAAACACACACGCGCACACAAACACACACGCGCACGCAGACGCACATCACCCAGTTAGCACGGTAGCCCACAGAACACGGCTGGCCCCGCAGGCACCTTCACCCCTTCGCCAACAAGGTGAAGGCGCAGCCCTGCAAGTTCTCGCTCGTGCCACTGCTGGCGGAATATTTTTTCGACGGCTCGACAACAAACGCCGAGATTTCTACGGCGCCGCTTACGCACCTCCCCCCCAACCCCCACCCCCTCATCTTGCTTCTCCTCACCTGCATGATGACCTTGAGGCGGTCGAGCGGTGCGGTGCAGGTGCGTGAGACGGCGCCGGCAGCGCCGCCTGCCACCAGTTGCCTCCACCACATCCCCGTGAGACGCTCCTCCTCCGTGAACTCGTCCGGCACCAAGAGGCTCTCCCCCACATCCAAGATCTGCCGGGGGGGGGGGGGGGGGGGGGCGAGGCGGCAAATCAGAATCGTCAGAAATATTTATTTGTCCTGGGAGGAATCCGATGAGCCGTGAAGATCTTTTCGAGCAGCGAAGCGGCGGAGGAAGGTGGGTGGGAGAGTCGGGAAGGTGGAGGAGGATGCAGCGGAGAGAGTTAGAAGAGATGGAGCGGGTGGTGAGGGAGAGTTATAAGAAGTGGAGGCGGCAGAGAAAAGTGAGAAGAGAGGAGGAGGAGGTGATGGAGAGTTAAAGGAGGAGCCCTCCCCAAAACGTCAGAATGTCGCAACGTATAATACGAGGGAGGATGTGGAATAAAAAATATTTTATTTTTAAAATGAAGAAAAATTAACCCGTAAAAACAAAGTTTTTCACTATAAATCCTTTATATGCGTGTTCAATGGGCCACAACCCAGCCCACATTGGTCTTTGAAACGGGCGGCTAGAGTCCTCTCGTCCTCTGGCTTGAGATGGCTGCCACCTATGGGTCAGATGATTGCCTGCCATCATTAAGCAATTGGTAATTAAATCTAAAAAAGTTTAAAATTGAGCAAAATTTTTTTGCAAAATGTCAGCTCGATTGGATCACGGGAAGTGGGTTAAAAAACGACCGAAAGATTTGCACGGTCGTAAGCGCGCAAGCAAGTGAACTTAATATAAAGGATTTAAAAAGGAGGATGTGGAGGCAGAGATGAGTAAGAAGAGATGGAGGAGGTGGGAGCAGGAGGCAGGGCGGAATTGGCAGAGAGACGGAGGAGGAGGAGGAGGCGGGGTGGAATGTGGCGTCGGTTCGACGCGGGGAAGTGACATACGCGGAGCGAGGAAGCGAGCGGGGCAACAGAGGCAGGAAAGGGGGGCGGGGGGGGGGTTCAACCGGGGTCACGGCCCAGCCAGGGGGGACCAGGGGACCGAAACAAGAAGGCGGCAGAGACGCCGATGAGAACGACGATGACGCAGACATCGGAGCGGAGAAGGGAGCGGGGTGGAGAGGTGAAGGAAGCGGGGGAATGCAAACAAACGACACCAACATAGAGCAGCTGCGGTTCGGCCAGGTCGCCAGCAAGCAAAACAAAGTGGAATTTTTTTTTCGTTCGAAATCGGTAAAATAAAAAAACTCAAAATTTCAAGAGTCGCAGTGGTGCTGAATACGAGACGGTGGTGGTCCGTAAAAAATAACGTCACAAGGCGGCCGTTAAAGCGCCGCACGCGGCTTCCGGAGCGAGCCCGTGGTTTGTCGACGCCTGGGTTAGACAGACATTTTTCGATTTAAAGCTTTCGTGACTGCAGGGATTCATCTTCTTGGTTCTTTCGGTAAAGTCACGTAGAAGGGAAGTAATAAAATAATAAAAATAAAACATAATAAAATAATTCTCACAACGTTTTGGCAGTGTTTCATTCTTCACCTGAAGACGGCTGCTTGCGTTGTGGCCGACACGTCGTGAGAATTATTTTATTATGTTTTATTTTTATTATTTTATTACTTCCCTTCTACGTGACTTTACCGAAAGAACCAAGAAGATAGACGGAGATTATCGTAGAATTCCATCGGCACCAACATCATAATCAGCAGCAGAAGCAGCAGCAGGAACAACATGCCAGGCAAATTAATGGCGAGTGTGTGCACGCATGCGGTTCTGTGTGTGTGGGTCCCACACAGCTGTACGCTTGTGTCGAATCGGCCTTAAATGAGTACCAGGCGCGGTGTATAAACATCGCCATCGCCGCTCGGGAGACAAAGGCGGCCGGGCGTGGTGTTGGCCACCCACCTGCCCTCCCTCTCGTGCGCCGTGCCGCCCTTCATAGGTGTTGACTCGCTAACAGCAACAGTCAGTTGAAGGCTATACGGTGGATCTCTGCCTGTGTGCGTGCGTGCAGGGTGTAAGGCGCTCACGGTGGAATGCTTCCAGTATCCGATGATCTCCTTGATGTTGCAGGCCGGGTGCAGCAGGTGGTAGTCGCGCCACTCGTCCCAGCCCACCATCATGGTGCCGTCTCTGTCCATGCTGCAAACACGTCGGGGTATCGGAGGAGATGAGGAGAGAAGACGGGGTTAGCGAATCTGAACCACCGGCTCGGGTCACAACGGATCAACGGACACCATCGCTCCAATCGCACACGTCGAGGCAATCTGACAAGTGACTAAGAGGCGCCCCCACCGGCCCCATCTCATTTCATAAAACATCGTCACAAGTCCAGTCACAAGCTCGAGGCTTGGCACAAAGCGAACGACGGTTGTCGTCCTCGCAGCAGGAGCAGCAGCAGCAGCGGCGGCGGCAGCTTTTGGCGAACCATTGAAGAAAGATGGTACGCCAATTCGCGCACCTTCGGATGAGCATCTGCTGGTCGTCTGGAACCCTCTTCTGTAACGATGTTGGGAAGCCACTGGGAGCAATGCACTCAGAAATCATCTTGTTTGAAAACTAATTTCTTTAAAACTGGTTTTTGTGTTTAGTTTGTTGTCCTTCCGCCCCCCCCCGTACCTCCAATTAGCACGGTTGGCTACGTACGGCACGAAACAACCTTCTTGGTTCTTTCGGTAAAGTCACATAGAAGGGAAGTAATAAAATAATAAAAATAAAACATAATAAAATAATTCTCACGACGTTTCGGCCACAACGCAAGCAGCCGTCTTCAGGTAAAGAATGACACACTACCAAGCTAGGAGCTTATATATACACTGGGTTGGAGGTGCAAGAAGAGCGCCTTAACAAAAAGAATGTGCATATGAAGAGGAATTTAGCATATTCATGGGAAATGCGTAGGAGGTGGGCGGGGGGGCACGAAACAAGTTAAACGCGCACACATAGAACTGTGCTTCCCGCTTCCGATCGTTCTACAAACGTCGAGGCACACGGGCGGTGGTGGACACGGCAGAGGCCCAGTGGTGAAGCTTTAACCACTTTCTTTTTTATTTCCGGGAGGTTCACGGTTCAAGCCCGGCGGCTACCTCGGTCAACACCGCCGGAGCGCGTTAACCGCAGATGCGACACGCTAAAGACCCCGCGACGTTATTCGACGAAAATTTGCCAAGAACCACCCTGAAAATTACTTCATTCGGGTACAGCCACACAGCAACTTCGCTCCCCTACTGGCAGACTTTGCCCATCTGTGACAACGTGCCGCCCTCCTACGTGATGAACCTCGCGCCGAGACCACACACACACAAACCCCGACACCCCCCCCCACCTCCGCATTGTAACAAAAAAATGAAAACGGCAATGATAAAGGCGGTCGGGCGGATGGTTCAATAGCTCCAGTTGCGCAACCCTCTCCTCCGCGTTGGCACAGCGGCAGCGTCTCGCATCGCCGCATCTCCACGCTGGCGCGGCGCCCCACGGTCACACAGAGGCGACGATTGCGCCCTACCCCCCCCCCCCCTCTTCCCTCCACTTGCCCCTCTTTCCTCAAGGGCAGTTACTCAAGAGCAGTGGGTGGCTATCGCTGCCCGCGGAACGACGCGTCTGCACATTCCTCGGCGTTTCTCAACGACGGGGCACGATGACGACGGCGAAGACGATTTGTCGGGAACGCCGGCAAATCAATTATTATTTTGTGGGTTCGGTTTGTCGCCAGAAACGAAGGTCCGGCTTGAGCCTGAGTGAACATGATCTCGTTCAGCAGCAGCAGCAGCAGGAAGGGGCGTGGGAACCTCTTGCCGCTAACGGGGCCAACGCGCGCGACAATATTCACGCAGCCGGGAGCCGCGGTGAGACGCGTGGCCACCGGCGTGCCCCGCGCGCCTGCTCAGCCGTGCAATTAACAAAACCAAAACCTGAAAAGACGCGGGAGCGGCCCGGGTGATGTTCGCGTCTGGCTCTGCGGCCGGGATAGCGAGGACGAGCTTCCGCGGATTTTTTCCTGTTTCGAGTAAAGTTGTTATCTGGATGTAATTACTGGAGAAACGTCGTCCTCAGATTGTAAGTGTTGTAGTGGGTTTACTCTCCAACACGCCCGGTTTGCTGTACTAGTAACAAATTGGCACGTTCTATTTACGTGACAAAGCCTACTAAGTGGCTGTGTCGGGTGGTGGCGGGTTTAACGACGCATTTATATATTTACGCGATCTAATCCATTAAAAAAGCCGTGTTGTGGATGATATTGATCACGTGTTAAACCCTTGTATCTAGAGGCTGAGACATTAGCTGCTTTCTCTTTTGTCTATTCAGATCTGGAAGCCAAATAGGCTTTGAGCCTGGTTAGTACTTTAACAAAAGACTTGCTTGGGGAGTAGCAGGTGCTGTTAGGCTGTGAAGTAGACAGGAGCTGGCAGTAAAACCAATGGGATCCAATTCTTTAATGTATCTATGCGGAGCTGGGGCTGCGGGTGTTTCCCCAATAGGTGATGGGAGTCCTAATCATTATTGTTATTTAGACCAGCCCTGAAAGCATCCGGTCTTCCATAAGCTACCTTTGTTTCAATAGACTCTTGTACTTATTTATAGAGTTGGTGTTTGCGTGTGTAATTACCGCTTATCCCCTACATACCTGCTTAATTGAGTAAAGCTCAGTTTGCCCTTCCTGCTAACCTGCCTGCCTCTAATCTGTGAATATAGATTACCAAGCAGATACAGATTAGCACTGTGCGTCCCAATACCAGTTCACCACCGAGCTGGGCATGATCATGATTATTATAGGCAGGGTTAATCTCAGTTTGCTGGTTACAACAGGGCGATGCAAATTGCACATTACTTTGACGAGCCACAAGACGACCAGCTGCTGACTTCCCACTAGACTGCACTAATTTTGGGGTGGAGCGGTGGCGCAGTGGTTAGCGTGCCCTGCCACGAACCCGGCTGCCTCGGTTTGATCCTATTCTATCTCGGATTTATAAAGCGCCCTTTTTCCAGGTCGCTTTACAACGCAGAGCCGACCACCGGTGCCAAGCGGCATTTGAACCGATCCCGGGCAACCCCCACCCACCTTCACCAACCCAAATTGACCAGCGTGGAGAAGTATGGTCAACACAGTCATAGCTGCACATGCAGTTTACCACTCGGCCAGATTATTCTGCAACATATACCGTGTGTTGAACACGAAAATTTACACCGATGTACACAGACCTTTGCGAACCCACCACTTTTTCACGAAGGGGCTGCCGCCCATTCTGTGTCAGTCGTGTGACCATACTTCACCACCCCAGTCGGTGCGAGCTGTCGAAGGTGGCTTAGGGAGCACCGGGATCGATTCAGATACAGCTCACCGCTGGCGTTGGTCGTGTCCGGGAATCGGATTACCCTCGGGTCGCCGGGTTCACGGGCCCAGCGCGCTAATCACCGTCCCCGGACCTCTACCCAGTGTATGTGTGTGTGTGGAGCGCCAGTGTAGCGGTTAGCGCGCTGCGCTACGAACCTGGCGACCAGAGTTCGATTCCCGCTCACGGACAACACCAATGACGATTATCTGAACCCGTCCTGGGCCTACTCCCCTAGGTCGACTCAGCCTTACATCGAGTACCTGGTGCGATGCGTAAAAACATCGCCACTAGGGAGACAAAGGCGGCCAGGCGTGGTGTTGGCCACCCACCCCCTCGTGTGCCGTTCCGGCCTTCATTAGATGTTCGCTAACAGCACTTGCCCCAACAGTCTGTGTCCGTTGCAGGCAAAATGGGGGATCTTTGTGCGTGTGAATCCTCTGCGATAAACGGTCTACGTTTTGAGTGCCACCCGGTTTCACATTGGCCCTGTGCTGGAGCAGTGAAACACAATCTCTCGTTTACTGCTCACACACATACATACACACACACGGGCACAAGGCGTTCTCTGATGCTGACACAGAGTAGCTATGAAGTACCCCTCGTTCAGAAGAACCCAGTGACCCTCCCCCTCCCTCTCTCCCTCCTTGCACAAGCGGGTGAATCATGGGGGTAGAGAGCAAAAAGGGTGGCAACTTGGCAGAGAGATGAGGGTAAAACAAGGTGAAGTGTGGGTGGAGGAGGTGAGGGTGTTCGCACATCTTTCTCTGATGCGAGAGCCGGAGAGAAACTGGCTGGCAAAACTACTAACCAACTCAACGTTCCCTCCTACCTAACGGGAGCCGCTTCCAATTAACACGCGCACCAAAGCTATCCCATCAATCCCAAACGTGGGTGCCAAAAAATACATAATAAATCAGCCACCTCCTCCTGAATGTACAATTTTGCAAGACATAAGCTCGTCAATGCACGTGGGCAGCCGTGCTAATCGGAGGTGCCGGGGGTAGAACAAACTAAATACAAAAAAACTGTCCTAAAAAAACGAGTGTGTCAACATAGGTGATGATTTAAAAGTGTATAAGCTCCCAGTGGCTTCTTAAGATCTGAAGGAAGAGCTTTCCAGACAGTCGCAGAAGCGCATCCGAAAATGCGCGACGCGGTGAACACCGTATTTATCTTCTTGGTTCTTTCGGTAAAGTCACGTAGAAGGGAAATAAAAAATTAATAAAAATACAACATAATGAAATAATTCTCACGACGTTTCGGCCACAACGCAAGCAGCCATAAGCAGCCGTCCTCTGGCAGCCAGACTTCACCGAAAGAACCAAGAAGATGAATCCCTGCAGTCACGAAAGCTTTAAATCGAAAAACACCGTATTTGTTCGACGGCAAATCAAAAGCCGCTGCTGCTGCTGCGAGGATAACCACAGTTCGTGTGACGTTTTGCGCTCCTTGACCAGGTCAGCAAAGGTACTACTGTGGGTTCATTTGTGGCTCACGCACTTTGCGTGTGTGATGAGTATCAGAGGGCGGCCACGGAGATTACCGGCAGCTCGCTTGCGGCGAAGCCATTGCGGAGAGAAGGCACCGATTGCCGACTGGAAAGCGCGCGACACCGCTGCACCAATGGCGGTGCGGAGCGGCGACACTCTCTCACGTGACAAAGGCTGCCGCAGTAAAATCTAAAATCGCGCGATTGGCACCGAGCGAAATAAAAGGAAACATTACGATCGCATTATTAGATTTATTTTAGGCGCTGCGGTTAACTCTCTCTGTCGCGCTCTCTCTCTACGGCACGAGTTAAACTTTGGACTTTTCCAACTACATTTTTTTTTGCCCAATTTCAGTTGCGTAAGAACACGTCTCTGCCGTAATCCGTTGCACAAACGACGTTGCCCAAGCCGAGAGAAGTGCGCCAGACAGCTCTTCCCGCCCCTCCCCACCTCGCTCATCGGCTTCCAACGTCGCCCGCATCGCCCCGACCCCCCCTCGACTCGTCGTGGCAAGGGGTCAACGCTGACATCACGCTCGCGCACATGGAACAATTCCATTATTCGTCATTATTTCTGGGGTGTATCGGTTCAGTGCCAAAGGGCCCCCCCCCCTTTTCCACCTCGTTCACTACCATCACTCGTTTGCATTGGGGATTGTTTCTATCGGTGTAACGGTGGTAAGATTTTATTGTTTCTCATCCTATTGCCGTTGTCTTGGACTGCGTTGCGAGATGCAGTTTTGCATGAGCGCCACTGCATAACAAAATATTATTAAGATTTAACAGAGGCTTCGCGTACAGTTCTCACGAACTCTTAATCACAGAATCTCACACTCACGATTCAATGCGTGTATAACTGGCGCAATAATTGATTGTGATCGCTCGATCGAAGCAAAGTTAATGTCCTAAATCAACGAAGCCATAATTATCATCGTAACAAAAATGCCACGAGCATTATTATCACCGCCATCATAATCGTCATCGTGCAGCCATCCATCCACTGCTGGATGAATGCCCCCCCCCCCGCCTTTCCCCATCCTCACCCTCACCCTCCAGTTCTCACACTGCTGCCGTGCACTCCCAACAACATCGCTCACTCACGACAGAATCCTCAACATCCTCACTTTGTCCTCTGTCTCCCACCTCCTGCCCCCCCCCCCTCCACCCGCCCGCCCCCCTAGGCCCGGGGCGGCCGTTTTCGTCCAAGGCGATTTAGCAAGGCACACAAGAAAGACTTACGAGCATTTTCCTGCCCCGCGCATCGGATTTACGAGCAATTATTTGGGAAAACATCACGCGCGGAGCTCATCCGCGTGCGATGTTTGTGCCGGCAAAGCCCCCCCCACCCCCCCCCCCCGCGCCCTGACCTTTAGTTGAGACGCTCTTCCTGTCGAGGGTCGCGCAGCCCGAGCTGCGGGGCGATGGGTCGTGTTAACGGGACAGGAAGTGCCACCAACACAATAAGGGCAAGCTAGCGGCAGAGGGACAACTAGCAACGCACGTAGCCCAGGCGTTGACGAATGACCCGTCAAACCGCGGTCTCAAAAAATTGTTGTTACCGCCCGAGAGACGTCAGGAGAGGGTTGGTGTGAGGACAAGGGGTTAAGGGATATATCCGATTGAATGATAACGGTCGTGTTGGAGCTAATGTTCGGGCTAATGCCACTGTCAAGGCTGTTACTGTTAATGCGAAAGCTATGGCTAATGCGAAGGATTATTAGGGAGGTCAACGCGAGTATGAAGGTAAATGTTGGGGACAGGACGAACGTTATTGTTAGCAAGGCGAGTACGGTTTTAGGCGTGAGGTTAGTGTTTGAGCCAGCAGCAGTTTGTGCAGTGCTCCAAACCCACTCACAGATTTCCCATTCCTTTACGAAAGGTCCCATTATAAGTGACCTCTGCTCACTCACTCCAAAGGCAAAGGATCTCCCCACATAGCCTTGAACAGACTGTTGGGGCAAGTGCTGTTAGCGAGTAGCAGCCATGAAGGCTGGCACGGCACGCGAGAGTGTGGGTGGCCAGCACCACCACGCCCGACCGCCTTTGTCTCTCTTGTGGTGATGTTTACACACCACACTAGGTACTCATTTGAGGCCAAGTCGATCTAGGGGACGTCCAGAACCGGTTCAAATAATCGTCACTGGTGTTGGCCACGATCGGGAATCGAACTAGAGTCGCCGGGTTCGTAGGGCAGCGTGCGCTAACAACTGCACCATCGCTCCCCATACATAGACAAAAATCCCCGTGTAGCCTTAACAGACTGTTGGGGCAAGTGCTGTTAGCGAGTAGCAGCTATGAAGGCCGGCAAGGCATACGAGAGGGGTGGGTTACCAGCACCACCACGCCCGACCACCATTTTCTCCCTAAGTGGAGATGCTTACACACTGCACCAGGTACTCATTTTGAATACAACAACAACAACCGTCATTCGCCACTAAGTGGCGGTGACATCACCACGGCGCATGTGCCAGGCTAGCTGCACTTTAACGCCGTCGAACGCCCGCTGGCAGGAGGTCACGGGACAGACCCGGCAGGTGCCGTGGGTTGACCGACTGGGATGACTGGCCGATTTTGAGCACACACTCAGAACACACGCCCTTGCTGCTGCCATCGCTTCACATGCAGGTGAGGGGGCACAGCCGGCAGAGGAGGGGGGGGGGAGAGGTAGTGAGTGTGGTGGTGATTGTCGTCAGCACACCTTCCCAGGATCTTCTCCGCCTGTTCCAGTGTGATCCTCACGCCCAGCGTCTCAAGCGACTGCACCAGCTCCGAGGCGTCGATCCGCCCTGCGCAGACGCACGCGGCACACCGCCCCACCAAGTTAACGCGGCCGTTGCGCTTGTGCACGCGCGTGTGTGTACGTATGTATGTACGCCCTGCGTGTATGAATAGTTACAAAATAGTAGCTACTGAGCAACAATAATCGAGAATTCATATTCTTAGGTTTTTTCGGTAAAGTCACCAAGTAGGTAAAAAATTTAAATTAATAAAAGTAAAATAAAAATCACGACGTTTCGGAGGCAACACAAGCTTCCGTCTTCAGGTGGAACCGTCACAGCACGATAGCTGTATCAAGTGAGAGAAATTCCAAGAAATAATATTTGTATATATACTGGTTGAGGGTGGGAGGAGCCAAGGTAGACCCTGGATATTATTGTTGTGAGGTTCGATGCGGCTGAAGCACGCTGTTAGGAATGAGCCTTTGTGTAAACTAGGTGCGGATGATGTAAAGGTGCGTGTGAAAGGGACTGAGCCTTTTTGTTATGTAGAGATGATGCGGCTGAAATCGAGAATTATAACTAAATAAACTCCAAAATATACAAAGTAAAGTCTTCAAATGTTGCTGCGGAGAATGCTCGGCATTTCCTGGAAAGGCTAGGGCAATGCAACGTGGCATTAACGCATTGTTGATGTCATTGATGGCAAGAAACTGTGACGAGTGGGACACGTGTACGCGTATTTGTGTGTGGAAAGGGCAGTTTGTGTGTGCACGTTCAACTTCTTTCGCACCGTACGTCGCCTACCGTGCTAATCGGAGGTGCGGGGGAAGGACAACAAACGGACGACGGAGCTGAAACAAAAAAAATCCCCACCGCTCCCTCCTCCTGTCTCCAGCCGTATGAACGGGTAGGGCCTCAGTTAGTCGAGTGGCAGGTCACGTGGGGTAAAGTGTGGGTACTCCCAGTTAGTGGGGGCGTATTCGGTCGTATCAGTGTCCTTTGCCGAGGGTGGCTGCCCTACATCACTTCCTAGAACGATAGCGGAGGACACGGGCCCATTTAGACTGAAAATAACGGAATATTTTCACGACAATCATGATGATGATGATGCGTGAATCGTTAACCCCTTGCTGAAGGACGATTGAACACAAACAGCTCTGATGTTGCGAACATTTACCAATGCTGTTTTTCTCAGAATATATATTTTACTCGTGGTCAGGAGCACCACTATAATTCCTCCAGTGATGTCGCTCCCATAATTCTTTAGCAGGTCAACACAGCGACATCAAAACACGCCCATAATGGCACACCTGTCCATTACTTTCGAGTCCGTCTTTTTGTTTTCCCTCACTTAACCCGGCTTCAAAGTCACTGGAAACTAATAAACCCGTGACCGCTCGGGCTAACGGAGCCCAGGTACGGCATCCCTAAATGCATTACGAGCCGTTGGGTCCGTTGATCCCGCCGCGTCTGCCGCTACATCTCACCGTTAAACGCCCGAGCCCCGGGGCAAACTGCTCTGCGCCAGTCGCCATTCCCCGGGCCCCCCCAGGGCACAAAACACACCGAGGGGTACGGTGGAAGCCAATCGCGTCATGCCATTCGGCAGCACCCGTGGCCGCGGTGTTTAGAATCAAGTTCAAACCGGATTTGCGCGGATGACCGAAAACTAAAAATTACGAAGAGCGACGATCGGGGGTCACGGGAGTCAGGCTACCGAACAAGGCGGCCGCGGCAGGTTTAGGGGAAGTGGGCGGGGGCCCTTAAATTCCACCCCGCGCACCCCTCCGCAAGAGGCGACGGAAAGAGCGACCTTCAGAAGTCATTGTCTTTTAAACCGGCACATGGCCCCCCCGTTGTCCACCACGGGGTAATAACACCGCCTTCCGCGAGGTCAGAACAACGGGGGGTTGGGGGGGGGGGGCAAAAAAGCGTCGTTGACGAGCGCACCACGCTCCTTGTTTTCGGTAAACGTGCACCGACCACGGTGATGAAGTATGACGCGGATTGAGGGCCATGCAGTAGCGTGGCCCTCATTCAGCAGCGGACTGACAAAACGGCCGCATATGCACACCACACCGATCGCCGCAACCTCACAGGACGTGATTGGGGGGGACGGGATTGGGGTTCTCCACGGCCGACTTGGAGAGGTATTTAAATAAAATTGGGCCAACAGTTCTCAGCAGAGGCTCAGTGCCAGTGCAGCCGACACACACAGCTATCGTCGCCTGATGCAGTCGCCGTGGTTAAAGGCCTTGTGTGAAGCGTGATGCTGGTGCAGTAGCCGGGGTTAACGACCTTGCCTGAACCGCGATTCTGCTGCAGTCGCCGGAGTTAACGGCCTTGTGTGAACCATGATTCTGCGCGCGTGCTTCTGGCTCGTCCGTTCCGTACGTGCTCGCGCGCACGCGCGCCCAGCTCTTTATCTCGCGTGACAATCTACAGCTACCCGACCATCCAACGGCCGCTAATGCGACCAGGAGGCACGGACTTGTCTCTCTCCTTTGTCGTTTGGGACGTAACTCAGGAGCGGCGGCGGCGGCGGGCGGTGGGGACAGGTTTAAGCGATGCGCCGCCAACAACCGCCACAACCGCAACCCACGTACCACCCACCCACAACCGACCCACGCCCCGCACCACAACCCACCCACCCACCCACCACCCCTGGTGTAAAGAACAGCAATCTGTGGAAACGCCACGCGTCGTGATAATCTAATTAAATTAAGTGGGGTCCATGCGTTTTTTTGCTTCGCAAGCGAACGAACGGCACCGGTAGTCGGGGGAGGGAGCTGGCAGGCAGATGAGTCACGTAGTCAAGAGTAAAAATTCCGGAGGGTAATTTAATTGAGCACAATGCAAAAGGTTTCGGGTCGCGCTCAAATAGGCGCGCGAACGCTGATGCGATCCGGTCGAAAGGTTCCGTTAATTCACGACATTTGTGTGTTTGGCGCGATCGCTCTTAGGGGACCGATTTTGCCATGTGTAATCCAAAGCGCAATTAACTTTTAAAATTTGGACCGCGACGCTGGGAACGCAACAACGGCCTTTCGCCTCTCTGAACGACGCAACGGGGATCTTTAACATCGACTGTGAAGCGGGTGGTGCGCATACGCGTACGATCCGATGACGTATCAAGATTGAAAACTGAATTCTTTAAAACTGCTTTGTGTTTTTAGTTTGTTATCCTTCTTCCCCGCACCTCCGATGAATTAGCACGGTTGGCTACGTGCGAAAAAAGTTCACTGTACATACACACTGCCCATAGACTCGACACTGCCCATAGACTCGACGCTGCCCATAGACTCGACACTGCACCTCCGATTAGCACGGTTGGCTACGTACGGTGCGAAAGAAATTCAACGTGTGCACGTCATCGGAACGGAGTCGAAAGATAAAACAACAATGGCATAAGTCGTCGGAATGAGAAAGAGGTAAAAAAAATTAAGGGATTCCGTGAAGTCGCCCCCGTGCGGTGTATTTGAGCTTCGTGCCAGCGGGAGAGAGAGGGGAACGGCCCTCACCGTCATTCTTCTTGTCCAGGCTCTTGAAGGCGAGCTTCAGCTTCTTCTCGTGGTCCTTGAGGTAGCGCACAAACTCGTCAAAGTCCAGCAGGCCGTCCTTGTTCTTGTCACCGGCCTTCAGGATTTGCTGTGGGCAATAAGGGGGCGGGAAAAACGATCACACACGCACGCAGGTGCTTGTGCCACAAAATGAGCCGCTATACCTCGTGGATCTTGCCAAGGAACCAAGAGTCACACGAACTCCGGTAAATCTTCGCAATAGCAGCGGCGTCTTTTGGCTAAGCCGTCCGACAAAGGCTGTGGTCACCGCGTCCCGCGCTTTTGGCGGCCGTCTGGAACGCTCTTCTGTAATTTGATATTAGGAAGCTACTGGAGCTGTGAACTTCTAAATGATCTTGATTAATTCTAGATTTGAAGCTTTCGTGACTGCAAGGATTCATATTCTTAGGTTTTTTCGGTAAAGTCACGTAGGTAAAACATTAAAATTAATAAAAATAAAATAAAATAAAAATCACGACGTTTCGGAGGCAACACAAGCTTCCGTCTTCAGGTGGAACCGTCACAGCCACGACAGCTGTATCAAGTAAATGAGAGATTACAAGAGCTACCACTCCGTATATATAATGGTTGAGGGGGGAAGGGCCAAGTACGGCACACTTTTTATTAATATGGTAAGGTGAGGCTTAAGAGCCAAGTACGGCACACTTTTTATTAATATTATTTTTATTAGAATATTATCTTGATTAATTTCTCTAGAACTGCTTTTTTGTGTTTAGTTTGTTCTCCTTCACCCCGGCGCGTCCGATTAGCACGGTTGGCTACGTGCAGTGAAAAAGTTCAACATACATATACATATATAGACGGAGAAAAAACACGCACACACACGCAATGCAACTGGTATCGGCCAACACATCCCAATGCTGAAGAATCACTTGCAAATGACTCCGCTGGGATCACACAACAGCAGCGGCAGCGGTCATCTCCATCATGCAAAAATTTGGCAGGGCCATCGAAAAAAAGAGTCTTTGATACTTTCCTGGGGAAACTAACATAATAATTGTAGTAAAATAATAAATCGGGCCAAGTATTACCGTCACCCACTGCTCGCCTCCTGGGATATCCTGCATTTCACCGGTCAGCCCCGGCAAATATTTATTTTGGATAAAAAATAACGAGAGAAAGATAAAATGTCGTCGACACTGCCAATCAATGATGACGAACGATTTTTCTCAACTTGCCGGCGGAGAAGTCCGAGTAATCGCGGTGTGCATGCGCTCGTTATTATTAGCGTCGTCGTTAGCGTGTATTTGTTTATGTTCACTGGGGTACACGACCTGACCTGCACCGTGTAACAACCTGCACCGGAGTGCTCTCACACGCAACCCGAGAGCCGTCACGCGGGGACGGGGTTGAAATAACCACCGCCGTCACCGCCACCGCCGCCACCACCACCACCCACTGCGGTCTCGTGCTGTAATCTCAGAAAGGCCACCACCTTCCCCCGCCCCCGTATCTCGTGCCGAGCGCCAGCGACTTAAAATAGCGTCGTGGCGACCCCGTAGATTCCGGGTTGCGACCGAGCAAGGGTTTAAAACAAAGAAATGTTACTCATCACGGTTGCAGAGAACATGAAACCAAAGGCCATGGGGGCTACGTGGCCAGCAACACGCGGCGCCATTGAAGGCGTGGTGCATGATGAGTTAATTCGGTGGTATAATTGAACAAGGTTAATTATTATTAGAAGTTGGGGTCAGAGACAATGGGGAGGGGGGTGAGAATTCCCAAGTGGAGAAATGGGAGGGACGGTGAAGAAGATAAGTGTTGTGACCTGGCAGCATGGTGGCTGAGTGGGTGAATGAGCGAGTGAGGAGTGGGTGAATGAGCGAGTGAGGAGTGGGTGAATGAGCGAGTGAGTTAATGTGCATGTGTGCGAGTGGGTGGGCGTGTTTTTGTGAATTGCGGTATAATAATAATAATACCCATTACTACATAAAATATAATAACACTGGTCACCACACTTTTTCAGGCATAAGGTATTCCAACGGGTTGAAGGTAATTTTGGGGTGCCGATTCCAAATCTGGCATCAGTTTTTGTCCATCACATCAGGTTTTTGAGATATCAAATATTGCATTTTCAATAAAAACTGCAGAAGGAAAATATTAAATAAATGTGGAAATCTACATAAAATTATATTATAAACACGCTATCCTAAAAATACAGCACCATATTTTAACACTGAAGCAGTCACTGACCTCGCAACAACTTGCAATCATAAGTGACAGAGTTAATTTCGGGTAAAATCAATGAAAATGGGGTATGCCGATAGCCTAAAAATGAGATATGATAGAGCAAATCTGACATCAGATTTGGAATCAGCACCCTGAAATTAGTCTAAAACAGCTGCAGAAGTCCAGGCCAGAAATGTTTTTGTTTTGTTGTTGACCAGTGTAATTATTCATAGTACGGATGAGACTATAGTCCATGAGACCCGAAGCCTCAACGTGGGCGACCGTAGGGAGACACGTGATGGTGGTGACAGGTAATGAACGTGGCACGTTTATTTCTTGCGAGCTATCTGGTGTCCCGCGAACCGCTCGTGATGCTTATTTATTTATCTCTCGCTGGTGTCGTGGACGAGTTATAAATAATGATGGTGGGGTGGGTGTTGCGTGCTCCAGTCCAGAATGGATCGTTTGTAAACAAAGTTGAACTGGGTCACACGACCAACAACTTTGCATTTCAAACTCAGGACCAAACGGTTCCCTGTCGTAGAGTGCAGAATTTCCACCACTGCCATATGACAGCACACAGAGGATAAACCGGATCTTACAATGGCGTTTACACGTATTGCATGGGGACCGTTTGGATCGATTGTATTTCACCTCGAAATCTAAAAAAAGAATCAGGAAAGTTTGCACACGCGCAAGTGGTGCAAGTATGAAACGTGTATGAAGGACATTCAGAATGCGTTCGTTCTACCCAGGAAGTCACAATGATATTTTCACAAGATTAACAAGGTGGTTTGGGTTTCCTTGGTGTGTAAATTGTGCCTAATAAATAACTTTAATTCGCTTTATTTACCCAGGAAAGCCTCCCCCATGTCTCTACCGGACATCTGTGAAAACTACATTTGTGAAAAAGAGGTTTATAGCTGATCGGATTCCTCCGTTATAAATAAATATGATTTAAATACTTTTTCAGGAGTGGCCCTGCTACCTCTGGGATGTTTGTGGCCAATATCATGCGTGAGAAGTTTAGCTTCGTGCGGGAGCCGGCAAGCGGAGAGCCCGGAAAAAACCCAACCCACGCGAATCGGTGACATCCAGAGCGCTGTACAGATGGGATAATTAAAAAAAACCCGCATCTATCGCTCTATTGCCATCTCTTCATCAGCTCGCAGTCTATAAGCCTACAACACAACACCTGCTATTCCCTGTTGTTCTTCCAATCCCCAACTATTAACCAGGCTCATTGGCTTCTGCAAATCTGGTTTTCTCACAACCAAATAATTGTATCTGCAAGGCCGAACCAATGTTGATTTACAACACCGCAAACGGTCAAGGTGCAGCCAGGAAATATCTCAATTGGTAAAAGGGTCTCCCCCCCTCGAGAGGCCCAATCTTGAGAGGGTATTTGGCCTACTCTTCCACACTGGCCAGATATCTTGAAAGAGGTCAGCGTACCCCCATTGATACTGCCTGCTGGGTGGCCAGAGGAACGGGGGGTGGGGGATTTTAAAAACCTGCACCATTGACTGCCACGGCAGCGAGGATGGAATCGAACCGGCGACCTCTGGGGTTGCGAGTCACAGCGCGCCCGACCGTTACGTCACTGCAACAGCGTCCGCGAGCGCACAAACACCGCGCAGAGTCGGCAAAAGCGGGCGAGCGCTCTCCCCAACGCGACCCAGCAGGGGACAATAATATTTTTCCCGCGATTCGGTGAAAAACAAGGGACCGAAACGGGGCAGAAGGTGAACAAAACAGGCCGCTCACCCGCCCCCACACCGCCTTGTTGTGGCTGGCGAATGAGAAAAACAATCGTCCCGAGGACAAATAAACAAGGTGAAATATCGAAAATCCACGCCAGAAAAAAGTGAACAACACACATGGGGGGGGCGGTGGAGAGGGCGGCGAAAATCAGACGACTCCCGATAATTTTTGTTTGCCAAACTGCTGCAACGCTTGCGTCACGCTGCTCTCTCGCACTGGGTGAGAAAACAGCAGGAGCGACGCTTGCTCCCGGCTTTTTCAAAATTATTATTTTGGCGGCGGGGTGGCGAAAAGTCTCGTGATGTCTGCGGCCATAACTGGTGCCAGTGTCCGTGTTTGACCATACTCAGTGTTTGACCATACTTCACCACCCGTGGTCAGCACGAACTGCTGAAGTCAGGGACGCACGCACGATGCCGGAGCACGGACGCACACAGGTGCTGATCTCCCATTTACAGCCCCGGATGCCAGTGGTGGAAACTCCACATTTTTTATGGCGCTGTGGGCGAGTCTATCCACAGGACAACCACCGTTGACCTCTCTACAAAGTTGTACTCGTTTTATTAACCCCCCCCGCCCACCCCCGAGGGAGGGATGATGGGCCAAGTCAACAACCCCCCCACGCCCACCGACCAGTATTTGAACTCGCAAACCTTTTGATTCGGAGCCAAGCTCTCCGCCTCAGAGCCACACGTGGCCAGATTAAAGTCGAGCAATTACTTTAAACTCAATATGAAAGCAATTTTTATTTTACCAGGTAAGAAGGCTCACCCTCTTAAGCCTCACCCTACCATATGAATAAAAAGTGTGCCGTACTTGGCCCTTCCCCCCTCTCCAACCATTATGTATACGGAGTGGTAGCTCTTGCAATCTCTCATTTACTTGATACAGCTGTCGTGGCTGTGATGGTTCCACCTGAAGACGGAAGCTTGTGTTGCCTCCGAAACGTCGTGATTTTTATTTTATTTTACTTTTATTAATTGTAATGTTTTACCTACGTGACTTTACCGAAAAAACCTAAGAATATGAATCCTTGCAGTCACGAAAGCTTCAAATCTAGAAGAATCACTGTGCTATGTGGCTCTTTCTCAGAAGCGATCTGGCTTGGACAAATGATAGCTCAACAAAGTGGCATATCACGTGGAAATGTACAGCAGCCAAATACTCTGTAAACACGTGACATTGGCTCTAAACGTGGAGGAAAAAAACGAAGGAACTGGAGAAAAATCCACGTGACCACGGGGGGAGGGACACGCAAAAACTCCTGGCGTTCGGTTTGGGGTCAAACCCACGACCTCCTGTTTACCAGGCGAGGTAGTTAACATCTCGCCACCTCGGCACCCCCACCATTCTCTGTTGCCCACCGTTTAGCCCGGCAGCCCTATGGCAACCTGTTCGTGCGTGATGGTGGTGGTGGTAGTGGTGGGTGGGTGACTGGTGGTGGTGGTCATCCTTCCAAACACAATTCAGGCTCAACCTTGCTCAGCCTCCGAGATCTATGTGCCTATGTTTGTTCTCTCTCTATGTATCTCTGTGATATCTGTCTCTACTTATATGTCTGTCTATATGTCTCTGGTTCTGTGTTTAATCTCTCTCTCAAATTTAGCATTCTCATGAAGAACGTAATCAACCAGGTAGGGTGTTGACTGTTATGTTATCCGACTGTTTGTTGTATTACATTACATTTCTAAGCATACTAGATTTGTGTTTCAATTTAATTTATACCTGATGACGATTGCTTGCTTGTGTTGCAATCGAAACGTCGTATGCTAGTATTTAATTTATTATTTTATCTTTATACGTGACTTTACCGAAAGAACCAAAGAATAATCTCCGATGAGATCGGGATTTTGTCAGCCATCGGTGAATGAGATACAACATAGAAGGCAAAGAGACTGTGCACCGAGTAGTCCCTGCCACGAGGATTACAGCCTCTGTGTTTGCAAAGAAGATTATCGTCGAATAGGTGACCGTGGCTCACCATAAAGAAGTTAACCAAACACTTAAGTGGAAAGTTGAAGATTGATTTCCGTCCTGCCAGGAAACTCCAGTGAACGAGTGGTTACGCAAAAAAAATCAGCTGGCAACTCTCTTCAGAAACAGCCACTTATCGTCGGAGAACAGCAAATCAACAATTTCGTTATTTAGATCAATTGAACCTTATGGCAGAACCTCGGGGTCCCAAATAAACGGAAGTCAAAATCGTAAATAATTAATTTATTTTTGGCGACTCCTTCCCGCCGCGCACAAACGCCGTGACCCACCAGAAATCAATCCTATCGTTCTTCACCAAGCACCCGTCGTTACCAAAATTGCCGTAGTCGTAAGCAAAACTTTGATTAGCGCATCGTGTAGAGCTCGACGAGAGGAATAGATTGCCGTGTCGTTCGCCTTCAACAGACATAAAATGACGTCGCAACGCAGTTTATGCGAGAGCCGGGGTCCCACCGCAAGGTTAATTTGTTCTCGACGCAATTCTTAAAGCCGTCGCAATGTCTCACAGACCACATTTGCAAGGACTTGCAAACAAAACGGCACTCAATTGCGGGAGGGGGTAAAATAAAAACCTCACTTAACATCCATCGCCGACCGCCATAGCGAGCACTCGCCGCCATCGCCGCTGTAACCAGAGCCATCGAAGATAAACGTAGCCGATAAAAGCATTTCCCCTTTGGCAAAGCATTGCGCAAAAATCTCACCACGCCCTGACACACGGCACGGAATGTGCTCCACGTGGCCTCAATAAAGGTGGAAAGGTCAAGCTCGCATCAATGATTGTAAAATTTTAACATTTCATTGCATCTATTACTTTGCCTGTGTTGCATACCCGCACAGTAGTCATGACCATCCCTTACCCACGAAAGATTTACCGATTCCCAACTTTTTTCTCGTCCTTTTAGCAGCGGCTTTTGGTTAACCGTCGAACAAATACGGTGGTCACCGCCCATCACGAAGGCGCTTTCAAATGCGCTTCTGTGGCCGTCTGGAACGCTCTTCCTTCCGATATTATGAATCCAAGGGCTATGCAATTTTAATTCATCTAGATTGAAAACTCATTTCTTTCTAAGTGCTTTATGCGTTTAGTTTGTTGTCCTTCCCCCGCACCTCCGATTAGCATGGTGGGCTTAGGTACGGTGCTCAAAAGACGTTCAACTCGCATAGAGGGGCCTCGGCAAATTTTTGGTTATTTGTTCTACTTAAGGTGAGCAATCCGCGCGAGTCACTGCGAGAAAATCCACTGTGCAAACTTCCTCTCGAACTCCTTTGCACGAGCATTCTCGCGCTATTTGTTCCGTCACGTGTCTAACAAACCTCGCCACGTCAGCTGCACGATGAACTTGCGTAATTTGCGTGCCCGACACACGCGCACACACACAACTTATCTCTTCAAAACTGTACATATACACACAAATAAGCACATAGTGTTCTGCTATTCGTCTAATTTCAATGGGCCCGATTAAAGTTTTCAAACACAAAGTTACGAGCGCGCCGGCTTCGCATCCATTCACAGGCGTTAAAAACTCCCAACGGAAGTCGAAACTAGAACCCCCGGGGGCTCAGCGAGAGAGCGAGCGAGCCCATTCACGGTTCATCATTCCGGTCGCGACATGGGGGCGGAGGAACGCCGGCACTCTAGCGTAACGCTCAACACGTAACAACCCCCCCCCCCCCCGCATCGTTGATTTGCGTGCGAAAACCGACACCGAAAAAAAGCGCGGCTGGACGCATGAGCTCCAAACGCCACGGCAGCATTTTCACATCTTAACTTTCTAAGCGACGCAAAATGTAGCCGAAAGGTTTTCAGCAAACCTGCTTGGACCGTTTTATAATTTTTTCTTGATTACAAGTTGCCGAGCACTTGCCCAAAACGCGCTGGCGAAGGTGCCATAGGTAGCGACGATACGTTTACTTGAACTAAGCAAGGCGGTTTCGACGAGAGCTCAGGAAGAGAGACGATGGGATGGTATTTCTTTAGGTGGAGCAGTGCGAGGAGGGTAGCAGCAGAGAGAGAATGGTTGTGAACTGCTGAGTGGGTGATCAGGCGAGTGAATAAGTGGCGGAGTATGTTGGTGAGCGAGTGCCTGGATCGTTTTGACCTGCAGTACAGTGGTTACACACAGTATGGATGAGATGAAACAGTCGAGTCTTTGCAACATGGGTGGAGGAATTAACTCAACGAAAATAAAACTATTTTTTATTTTACAAGGTGAGGCCTACTGACTGAGCCATGTAGCTCCTTTTCAGAAGTGACCTGGCCACAAATGACAGCTCAACGAAGTGGCCCACCACCACCATCACCATCACGTGGACATTAATAGCGGCGGCACAAATCAGCCTACAAACGCACGTTTCCAGCCGAACGAGGCTCACGGGAGAACCGGCGAAGAACACGCGTGGCACGCTCGCCCCCCCCCCCCTCCCCCCAACGCAAGCTTGCAAACCGCTCCCGGGGAAACCCGCTGGGGGTTTCGGCGGAGTTGCCACAGGTAGCCCATCCTCCTCACCTGCCGCCACAGGAAGTACTTTGCGATCTCTCGCGACGGGACGAACAGGGCGAGACGCAGGACTGTACGCAGGTTCTCGGGGAGCCCGTCCGCCTCAAAGAACTCGTACTCCCAGCTGTCCGCGTCGGGCACGGGCAGGTACAAGCACAGGCACAGCATGGCCCCTGGCTGTCTCGTCGAGCGGCTGCACGGTCTTAAACGAGCGAGGTCGCAGCGAGCAAAAGCCTATAGTGCGGAGGGGTCGCCTCGGGCAGGCAGAGGCATATGGAGTTGAGAAACGCCGGCCGGGGTTTTTCTTTTTCTTCGCGGCCTGTGACGCACTGCGTGCGCGTGCTCTGTGTGGGTGGAGCTACGATATCTCTCCCCTCCCACCGGAGATTCTGCGCCACCCCCCGGGTAGATATCGTCGCGGGATGCAAACCGCTCACCGCCACTTCGTGGCAGTCAAGAAGACGAGGCCCACTGATCGTTTATCTCATTTATCAACTGAAGCGACCGGTTTCCTACAGACGCGCTTCCAACTCTGTAGGCGAAGCGGGTTGGGAGGGAGGGCGGGCGAGGTGGACTGACACTGGTTGAATGGGCCCGGGAGTGAAGTCTTGTATAGCGCTCCCCTGCACAGCCTGGGAGGGGGCCGGCTTTGGCACGATGACTTTTTTTTTGTACGATTAATGTAGGCGGACTTTGGTGCTGCCACGGAGCCAATGTGTGCATTCGCTCGCCACCCACCCCTCCTCCTAACCCATACCTCCCACCCCCCCCACCCCCATGTGCAACGATCGGGCCACGCGACCTTGAATCCGATACTTCACGTGGCGGTAGCAGCAGCGACGCCGGCGGCAGCTGCTACTACCACAGATTCTGGCTCTCCCTTCATACGGCGGAGCTGCGAACCGGGTATTAGGGCGCCAGGGGTGGCGAGATGTTAACTCCCTGAGGCCTGGTGAACGAAAGGTTGTGGGTTCGATCCCGACCCTAACGCCTGCTGTATATTTGGAGTTTACGTGTCTCTCGCTCTCCCTGTGGCCGTGTGGATTTTTCTCAAGAGTCCTCCGGTTTTTCCCTCCACATTTAGAATCGACATGCATTTAGAGCATTTGGCTACTACTTCACTGGGCTATCATTTGTGATAGCCAGGTCACTTTTGAAAAAGAACTATACATAAGCCCGGTCCGTCCTTACCTGGAAAAATAAAAAGATTTGAATAGTTTTAAAAATTTCGATTTAAAGCTTTCGTGACTGCAGGGATTCATCTTCTTGGTTCTTTCGGTAAAGTCACGTAGAAGGGAAGTAATACAATCATAAAAATAAAACATAATAAAATAATTCTCACGACGTTTCGGCCACAACGCAAGCAGCCGTCCTCAGGTGAAGACCAGGTCTGTCGGGGAGACATTTAAATTGGGGATTGGGTGGCATCCTATACTGATTCTTGTGTTTTAATGAACTTGATAGCATAGAGCGCACCGCCCTCATTGGCAGCTCGTGTCGCCCACCGCCAGACGATCAAAACGCGACGACAGGCAAGGGGGACACCCAACAGGTGCTGTACGGCCCTCGCGACCGCGTGGGTTTTCGCGGATTGTGCCGCCGTGCAGCTTGTCCCGGACGTTTCGCTCCGCGTGCTGGAAGCCGCCCCCCGCCCCCCCTCTTTGTGAATCCGTCGTTTGACAAATGTCCACAATTTTCCAAACGAAAATAAGGGCACAGAAAAGCGTGGCCAATCGATTTTTTTTAATCGATTTCACAACGGCTCTTCACCGAATCGATTGCAGATTCCCAAAGCTGTGGAACCGATAGTTTAATCCTGCTCAATTTTAGCAACGGTCAAACCGATTGGCACGCGGCGTGCGTTCAAACCGCACGTTTGGCGCGTACCAAACATCCACGCTAACCATCCCATGGCTAAAATTAATGGCGAGTGATATCCGATCTGTACTGAACCGGCATGATAAAGTATAGTCAAGCAACATTTTACAACCACCGTGGCTTGACCATGGCCTTCAAAGGGCTGCACATGTACATGTACGATGACTGTAGAGGCCGCTAGTGGCTGCAGAGGTCAACTTAATGATTACATTAAACACACGAAGAGAAAATAGGATTCTCAAATGCACAGCTCACATTGTCGCGAGTGTAAGAATCAATATTAATCACTACCTTGTTCTATCCGTCTCAACCACTCGCCGAGATTAAATGTTCGTTGTTTGCCGTTAACAGATGACGCGTTGTCAAAACACAGCCCTTTCGGGAGCCAATTGGAATTGATTGTTTACTAAATCCACGCCTGCAAACCACCAGCCCATCATCCTGAATGTGCCAGACCTCGCGAGACCTGGCGAGCTAATTGGCCATTCCTGGTGAAGGAGGTTCTTAACTACGGAGTTTTTCACGGTTCTGCCGCCGTACGCAGAGCCGCCCGAAACGCGATGCCGGGTTGTTACCCCACGTTGCACCCGCACGATACCCGATGTTTCGCAGCGCGTGCTTGGTGGAGCTTCTCTCCAGTTCTTGTTGAGACCCATCTTCAGTCGCCTAAGAAGAGGCTCCCAAGCGAGCCGAGCAAAACTTCAGATGTCGCGGCGAACGACACTCGTCGGGGGAGCCGAAGGACACTACTAGATTCTAGATTTGAAGCTTTCGTGACTGCAAGGATGCATACTCTTAGTTCTTTCGGTAAAGTCACGTAGGTATAAAATGAAATTAAAATTAATTTTAAAAAATCACGACGTTTCGGAGGCAACACAAGTCTCCGTCATCAGGTGGGACCGTCACAGACAGATTTGCTGCATCAAGTGAGGGAGGGATTCAAGATGCAAGCTCTTAAATACTGACACTACTAGAAGCTGTTCATCCTCCAGCCCGGATGTCGGCAACCTCTGGCCCCGAAGCCGCATGCGGCTCATTAAGGACTGCTGCTCCGTGACGTTATTTATCAAAGACCACCACCGTCTCTCGTACTGACATTGCATTGCGGCGCTTGAAAAGGTTTTTTTTTACCGAATTCAAAAGAAATTGCTCTTATTTTGGTCGGCGACCCCTGCCTCCAGGCCAACGCTGATATCGCTATTGTTGTTGTTGTTGTTTTTGTTGTTGTCACTGCTATATGAACACGTGAACCGAATGCTGACCTCACGGTGAGAACGGAGAACAGGGGTTATATACAACAAAGGGCGTACAAATCCGGCCGCACGTGTGTTGCAATAACCAGCACACGTTTCTTTCCGAAAACCGCCCGGGTTCTCACGAACAGAGTGGCCCCTTCAAACGCCCGTCGCCGTGGCGAGGAGGCCGCCACTCAACCGGCGTAGTGCGGTCCTTGCTAGAATCCAGGGCAAAACTTCAAACGGGCCCGAGTGAACGGCTAATCGCAAACGTTTGCCGTCCTCTCTTGGCCTAATTTGGGCCCGAAAATAGACTCCCCGTGCCGGCCTTTAGTCATCTCCGCTGTGAACTCTCTTAACAATTCGGAGATAAGTGGGTCAAACATAGAGCTGTTTTTTTTTCTCATGGTCTCTACTCACGGATACGTCTCCACCTGCTTTACACTACTCCAACCCGCTTCTATGTTGCGCTGTTAGGTTTTTCCACTTGCCATCATCATCATTTAAGTCTGCTTGGAAAACCCATCTCTTTAAACTGCACCTTCCCTCTTTTAGTTTGGTCGGTTGCCCCCCGCCCCCCGCCCCCCCCGGTTCCGTTTCCATATTTTCATGCATTGCGCACATTGGGATCCTAGGATGGAAAGCGCAATTATAACTTCGAAATTATGTATTACTTAATAATACATTTAATTTGTAATGCAAGCAGCATTTGCCCACTATTGAAGAGACAAAGAGAGAGAACGACTCAAGGAGGTGTGAGGAGACACCAGTGACAAGCGGGAAGGCAGCCATGCGATGAACCGGCTCCAACAATTGCCCAAGCTTTGCAGTCCCTCGATGTATGATGTTGTTCTCAGCCAATCAACAGTGTTAACATGTGGGAGGAAACCAGAGCACCCGTGAGAAAACCCACAAGTGCGAGGAGGAAACACTATCCCAGTGTTCTTCAATAATTTTCAGAAGGGGGCCAGTTTTGCCGATAAGACATCACCAGTGTGAGGGCCGCCGCACAATTGAAACCATTCGGTGTTTGACAGCAGTACGATGATGATGATGGGGGTGTTTTCACTCCGTGTGTATTGTTGGAGGCCGATGTCAGGGGCCGCACCAAAGGCCACCAAGGGGGCCACCAGTGGCCTGTGGGCCTTGCAAAAAAGAGCCCTGCTCTTCCTCATGCAGATGGAACAGACGGAGGAGTTCCTTATTCTGTTGTACCGCCATCTCTTGGCAAGCCGGGGTATGACACCTGGGCGCGAGCCAGATTTGTGGAGAAATCCTCCTGTTCAGTTCCACAAATCTGGCTGTCGCCTGATGAAGCTAGTTGTAATTAATGACGAAACGTCGTACTCAGATTGTAAATGTTGTGGCTTTGCTCTGCAACACACCGGTGTGTTGTACTAGTAACAAATTGGCACGTTCTGTTTAAGTGACAAACCTTACTAATTGGCTGTGTTGGGTGGTGGCGGGTTTAACTACACTAATCAAAAAAACAAACCTGTAAAACAATAATTAAAAAATTTCCCCCAATAGATTTTTACAACTGAAACTAAACTAATAGCCCTACCTCGACACCACACAACCCATCCACCGGGTCAACCGTCATACGTGCAGTACGCAAATGTCAGTCTCTGCGGATGAATCTATTAAAAGAGTGGGCGAGGGGGTAAACCTGAACCGCCGTTGTAAGCACATACGTCTGAACTCTCAGATATTTTAGGCTATTCCCGCCAGCTCGTGGAGGCGGCAATCCCAGCTCCCCCGGCCTTCCCCGCTAGCGCGTGACCGCAAGCCGCTAAAATTCACTTCACGGCGCACCCACCGAAACGTTTATATATATACACACACACACACACGCGCGCACGTGCCCTCCCGAGACAAGCGACGCTGCCGCTCTCGCCCATGCTGACGCGACAATGAACTTGGCGGCCCCAACGTAACCCTGTATGTACGCCTGCGTTGAACTTCTTTCGCACCATGCATAGCCAAATGCGCTAATCAGAGGTATAATGTTAAGTATATGGGTAGTGTTAGTCTATGGGCAGTATGCATGTCTGTATGTTGAACTTCTTTCGCACCGTGCGTAGCCAACCATGATAATCGGAGGTTTCACTTCACTTTTCTCACATGGGTTGGACCAGATGACGCCAAAGAGACTAGGCTCTAAGAAAAGCTGTCTCGGGTGTGGACCAATCAACTTCAAGGACAGTGCACATCATTATCAGAGTTATGTTTTTTGTTTGCATTATGGCTGCAGGT